GGACCTATGTCCATAATGCTTCCTGGGATACACCCAGTTCCACCTACCATCGCCACTGAACCACCTCCTGTCCCCACAGAAAAACCCACTGTCCCCACTGAAGAAACCACCATCCCCACAGAAAAATGTACCACCCCCACTAAAAAGCCCACCACCACCACAGAAAAAACCACCATCCCCACAGAAAAATGTACAGCCCCCACTGAAAAGCCCACCATCCCCAAAGAAAAGCCCACTGTCCCCACTGAAAAGCCCACCACCCCCACAGAAAAGCCCATTGTTCCCACAGAAAGACCCACCATCCCCACTGAAGAGCCCACTGCCCCCATTGAAGAGCCCATAGTCCCCACTGAAGAGCCCACTGTCTCCACTGAAAAGTCCACTGTCCCCACAGAAAAGCCCACTATCCCCACAGAAAAACCTATCATCCCCACTGAAAAACCTACCGTCCACACAGAAGAGCCCATTGTCCTCACAGAAAAACCCACCACCCCAACAGAAAAACCTACCATACCCACTGAAGAGCCCACTGTCCCCACTGAAAAACCCACTGTCGCAACTGAAAAACCCACTGTCCACGCAGAAGAGCCCACTGTCCTCACAGAAAAACCCACCACCCCTACAGAAAAACCTACCATCTTGGCTGAAAAACCTACCATCCCCACTGAAAAACCCACTGTCCACACAGAAGAGCCTGCTGTCCCCACAGAAGAGCCTGCTGTCCCCACAGAAGAGCCCACTATCCCTACTGAAAAACCCACCATCTCCACTGAAAAGCCCACTGTCCCTACAGAAGTGCCCACAGTTCCCACTGAAAAACCCACCGTCCCCACAGAAAAGTCAACTGTCCCCACAGAGGTGCCCATGGTCTCCACAGAAAAATCCACTGTCCCTACTGAAAAACTCACAGTCCCCACGGAAGTACCTACTATCCTCACTGAAAAACCCACAGCCCCCACGGAAAAGCCCACCATCCTCACAGAAAAACCCACCATCCTCACAGAAACACCCACCTTCTCCACAGAAGAAACCACAATCACCACAGAAACACCCACCCTTCCCACAGAAAAGCCCACCATCCCCACTGAAAAGCCCATCATCCCCACTGAGAAGCCTACTCTACCCACTGAAAAACCCATTCTCCCCACGGAAAAGTCCACCCTCCCCACAGAAAAGCCTACCCTTGCCACAGAAAAACCCACCATGCCTACTAAAAAGCTCACTGTCCCCACTGAAAAACCCACCGAAAAGCCCACCATCCCCACTGAGGAGCCCACTGTCCCCACTGAGGAGCCCACTGTCCCTACTGAGGAGCTGACCGTCCCCACTGAGGAACCCACTGTCCCCACTGAGGAACCCACTGTCCCCACTGAAAAACCCACCGAAAAGCCCACCATCCTCAATGAGGAGCCCACTACCCCCTTGGAAAAATCCACCCTCCCCACAGAAAAGCACACAGCTCCTATGATAGCCTACACCAGCCCAACACTCAAACCCATTGGGCCAACAATCTTGGTGATGACTCCAACTGCTCCAAGTGCCTTCACAACCAGTGTAACCCTCGGCACCACTGCAACCCCTATACCTGCTCCAGGTATGAGGTGAAGCATTGGGAAAAGAGCTGAAAATAAGAAACAGCAGGAGAGTTAGGGAAAGAGATACTTCTTGCAGAAAAATTGCAGTCTTAGAGGACAGACGAATCAGACTATGAGAGACTTTAGAAGAAACTATGAAGACTACCTTTGGTCAGAGGGACAGCAGGGCAGGGGTGGGGTAGGGGTTGCCGGGAACCAAGAACTTGACTTCTTTCTTTCTTTTTTATTTTGAGATATAATTCACATACCCTAAAATTCACTCATTGGAAGTGTATAATTCAGTGGTTTTAAGTATATTTACAGATATATGCAACCATTGCTACAGTCAACTTTAGAACATTTTTATCATCTCAAAAAAAAACCCCATCCCCTTTAGCTATCACCCACCCTTCCATCCCTCTCCTCAGCCCTAAGCAACCAGTAATCTACTTTCTGTCTCTATAGATTTGCTTATTATGGACATTTCGTAGAGACGGAAAGATACAATTTGTGGTCTTTTGGGTCTGGCTTCTTTCACTTAGCGTAATGTTTTCAAGGTTCATCCATGTTGTGACATATTTCAATACCTCATTCCTTTTTTTTTTAAATTGTGGTAAGTATATAGGTAACAGAACATTTGCCATTTCTGCAATCTTTACACGTACAGTTCAGTGACATTGTGTATGTTCGTCATGTTGTTCAACCATCGCTATCACCATTCCCAAGTTTTTCCATCACCCTTAACAGAAGAAGCTCTGTGTCCCCTAAGCAATGAGTCCTCCTTTTCCTCTCCCTACCACTCATCCCTGGTAACAACTAATGAACTTTGGTCTCTACACACTTGCCTATTCTAGATATTTCATGTAATTGGGATCATATACTATTTGTCTTTTTGTGACTGACTTCACTTAGCATGTTTCAAGGTTCATCCGCGTTGTAGCCTGTATCAGGACTTCATTTCTCTTTATGGCTGAGTAGTATTCCATTGTATGGATGTTTCACATTTGTTTTTCCATTCATCTGTTGATGGACATTTAGGCTGTTTCCACCTTTTGGCTATTGTGGATAACGTTACAGTGAAAACTGGTGTACAAGTATTTGTTTGCGTTCCTGCTTTTAATTCTTTTGGGTATCTACCGAAGAGTGGAATTGCTAGATCATATGGTAATTCTATGCTTAGTTTTTTAGGAACCGCCAAACTTTTCCACAGCTGCTGCATCATTTTAAATTACCAACAACAATGGATGAAGGTTACTTCCTTCCTTTTTAAGGCTGAATGATATGGACCTACTTCTTAGAGAAGAACTTGAGTTTGAGGGTAGGGGAAAGACAGGAAAGCTCTCTGAGAAAGGCTGTGGAGTGGAGGATTGATTAACTAAGGCTGTATTTCCCTGTTAGCGACCTGTCCCTCAGATGCCCACTATGAGTCCTGTGCCTGCCCTGCATCCTGCGAGAACCCCAGGCCTACCTGTCAGCTCCCCTGCAGGCCAGGCTGTGTCTGTAATGCCGGCTTTTTGCTTAGTCACTCCCGCTGCATCAAAGCCTCTTCCTGCAATTGCTTCTACAACAACAACTATTACAAGGTGAGACCACTGGGATGCCTGGATCCTCTGAGGGCAATTGCTAGCAGAACAGCTGGATTCTAGCTCCATGTACCGCACGCCCCCCCCCCCCCACCAAAAAAACCAACTCCGCTGTTGTCAAGTGGATTCTGACTCATAGCAACCCTATAGGGCAGAGTGGAACTGCCCCACACACAGAGTTTCCAAGGCTGTAAATTTTTACGGAAACAGACTGTCACATCTTTCTCCCTTGGAGTGGCTGGTAGGTTCACAAGGCCAGCCTTTCAATTAGCAGCCAAGTACTTTAACCACTGCACCACCACGGCTCCCTGTGTCTTCCCCAGGTGAGGTGAATTTGGATCCGTGGGATGCTCCTGGGGGGGCCACCTCCCAAGCAGTAGTTACACAGTGTCGGAGTCATTCAGCATGGGGTTTCTGATGATCAGCTCTGTTCATACAACACGTATTTGTTAAATACCCTCTTTGGTTTGGCATGATGCTGAGGTGAGAGAAGGATCAGGATCCTGTGGTCCTTAGAGTCTCATATTTCCGTACTTCTCTGCCCTGTAATGGCAGCCTTAATGATGCATTAGGGATTAGACCAACCATGTGGTAAAGGACCCTCCGTATTCATCCTGAGGAAAGTCTGAGGTTCCTGTGTATACAGAGGGCACTGGACACTGAGTAGGACATCTAACATGTTTCGGGGCAGAATCCAGCACCCCAAAGGCTTGGACTTTTCTTCCAAAGGAACTCGAAAATCCTGATAAGTCAAAAAGAGGGGACTTACTGTTTTGTCTCCCCTAATCAGTGGTCTCTTGGGGCTCTAGAGGGGCACAGGCTGTGGGCCAGCGCTATCCGATAAAGACTGAGTGGAGGCCACACACATGTCATTTTACATTTCCTGGTCGCCACATTAAAAAAGGAAAAAGGAACAGATTTAATTAATCGTAATATACAATATATTGTAATATAATGTAATAGTGACCCAATAATATATTGTAATATAACGTAATAACAAACCAATAATATATTGGTTCAGCATGTAATGAATACAAATTTATGAGGTATGTGCATAAGAAAGTATCTTCTCTACTGGCACAGGGTGGAGAAGGGGAAAGGGTCCCAAATATATTCTTTTTTTTTTCATGTTAAGTCTTCAAAATCCAGTATGCATTTTACACTTATAGCATATCTCAGTGTGGACTGGCCACATTTCAAGAGCTCAGTAGCCACATGTGGCTGGTGGCCACCATATTGGATAGTGAGCTCTAGAATCAGGCAACCAAGCGTGAATCCTGGCTCCAGCACTCATTGTCTGGGTGACGCTGGGCAAGTTCTTACCTCTCTAATTCTGTCTCCATATCTATAAAATGTGCACAATAGATTTTCCTACCTCATAAGATTGTTGTGCAGATGAAATTAGATTCTGACACATACCAATTACTTATAAATGTTAATTATTATTATTAGCAACTTATGATAACTATCATATGCAACCTATTAATTAAAAGTGTGTTAGGCATTCATTAGTGTACAATGCCTCTTCTCTAGCTCCAAGTGTTCTTCCCACCAGTGTTCAGAGCTGCTTGTCTTTTCGGGGGCCACTTCCTCCCCCACCTCCCCTTTAACCAGTCTCCTGGGTCTCTCTGTGTCAGTGTTATGGTTAGCTTCAGCCACAGCCTGGGGAGAAAGATCGGTCACAACCATCAGCATCAAACATCTCTTCCCTCTGCCCTGGGAGGCATACATTCACTTACGCATGTATTTGTGCATTCAGCAAACATCTAGTCTCCTGGCATTGGGGTTACTATGAAAGCGACATGGTCTTTGCCCTCACGATGCTCTCAGATTGAGGGATATATTGGGTCTAGGCCAGTCTTTCATTCAACAAGTATTTATTGAATAAGAGCACTCTGCTAGGCACTGTGCTACATATTGTGGCCAAGATGATGAGCAGAGACAGACCAGGTACCTTACACAGGGTGTTTACAGTTGAATAATCACAAAAATAAATATAAAAGTGCAACTCTGGTAAGTTCTCTGAAGGAAGGGTACCCAGAGGTAAGAGGATGACCTAGTTAGGGAGGTCTGGGGAGTCTTCCTAAGAAAGTGACCCTTGAGTGAGCTCTGCTGGTTGCGAAGGAATGATTTAGAAAGAGGAGAGGGAAGAGCATTCCAAGATGAGAGAACAGCATGTGCAAATGTCCCGTGGTGGGACAGGGTATCTGGTAGACGGTGGGAAGAGTATGAGCAAGGTAAGTTCTGTGCATGAGAGAGCATCTTGTCTCCTGGCACAGTGTGGAGAAGAAGGGGAAAGGGTCCCAAGGGCTATAGTGTGTGACTCGGGATCCTTGCTTCCAGCCTGGGGCCGAGTGGTTTAGCCCCAACTGCACAGAGCATTGCCGTTGCTCGTCTGGCAGTCACCTGGAGTGCCAGGCCTCTCAGTGCGGGACACACAAAGTGTGCCAGCTGCAGAATGGCCAGTACGGATGCCACCCCTATGGTGAGACCCTCCCCGTATGCTGCCCCTGCCTGCCAGCCTGTCAGTGGTGTGACACCAGGGCCCCAATCCTTCCCTTGACCAGAGGAGCTGGGGAAGGTCACTGGGTGGGTAAGGTGGGATGTGGGGCACAGCTTGGTGGGGTGGTGGAGCCAGCTTCATGTGACCCTCTCTCTCCCTTTGGCAGGCACTGCCACCTGCTTGGCTTATGGAGACCCTCATTATCTCACCTTTGACGGGAGGCACTTTAGCTTCATGGGCAAATGCACCTACATCTTGACCCATCCCTGTGACAACTCAACAGGTAGGGCCCTGGAGATGCCTGCCACGCCCTAGATGAAGGGTCTGAGGTCACAACTGCTGATCCTGGGAGCACAGTAAAGGGCAGGAGCAGATGGGGGGAAAGAGGCAGGATTGGGGCAAGGTCTTCTGGAAGGTGAGTGTTGAGAGGTCCACCCTAGCAGCAGGAACTTCCTCAGGACCAGACAGACTAGTGGGGAGAATGCAGTTGAGCCTGCTTCTCTTCATCAGTTGCTTCCTTGGCAAACTTTTACTGAGGGACTACTGAGTGCCTGGCATCATGGTGGTCACTGTGAAAGACACCAAAGAAGTAGCACAGACACTCCTGCCCTCAAGGATGTCGCAGTCCCCTGAGTGGAGACAGATAGGCAGCTCACAGTTACAGGCTGTTCTGGGAGTGGGGAGACGTCATGCCCAACTCATGTTTGTGTGCTGTCTCCCCTGTTGAACTGCAGGGCCCATGTCTCTGTGGCCTTTACCCCCTCGGTGCCAGGCTCAGGGCCCCTCTTACAGTGGGCGCTCAGAAATGCTTGTTAAATGAATCCCTGGGCTCTCTTCATCCCTTTTGCCACCCAGACCCATACTTCAGGGTGGCAGTCAAGAATGAGGAACGAGGACAGGAAGGCGTCTCCTGCCTGAGCAAAGTCTACGTGACCCTGCCCCAGACCACCATCACCCTGCTCAAGGGCAGACACACACTGGTGAGCCTCGTCCTCCACCTCGCCCTCCCAGGGCCACTGGCCTGGCTGTGGCCTGCTTCTGTGGGCTGCTGTGGCCTCATGCTTGCCAGCTCCTCCAGCCCTCAAACCTTCTTAGGGATGGGCTTAAATAAAATAAAATAACAATGGTGAAAGTTCTTTGTGAGCTCCAAACCACAATAAGTGGGAGAGGTTTGATTGCCATGGAGGATGTTCTGCCTCCCTCCGGGAATGGGAATCTGTTTGGGGTTCTCCCTGACCTCCATGTTGTTTCTGTCTCTTCCCTCTTCCTTACCTTCCAGGTTGGGGGTCAGCAAGTCACCCTCCCAGCCATGCCTTTTCAAGGTATCTTCTTGACTCAAAGTGGGCGGTTTATGGAGCTGCAGACAGCATTTGGCTTGCGGGTGAGGTGGGATGGCGACCAGCAACTGTATGTGACTGTGACCAGGTGAGGGGGTGACCCAGTGAGGCAGCTGCCGCGTCTCCCTATCCTGTCTCTCTCTCTCCTAGGACCCACCCAGTTCCTTCCCCTTCTATTCTGCTTCCTCATGTTTAACAGTTCTCAATCATTTATCAACCTCCCAATGGGTAAAAAGCACCTAGCTCAGCACGGGGAGAGGGAAGACTATGGGATCCCTCCTTCTTTAGGCCGAGCAGACAGGAGGAAATGGTTTCAGAGCAGGGTGATAATATCAGGGTATACACACAATGCTTTGGGAACGTGCTAGAAGAAGTCACTGATAGGCCCTGATGGGCTTTCAGAAGGGTAGTCACTTGATCCCAGTCTTCAAAGAAGAGCTGCTCCCCAGAGGGACAAACAAGAGAAGGAAGTACATTACAAGAACAGTGAACACAAATGCAAAAAGAAACTCGTGTGTTTTAGGGCCAGCAGGAGGTTTGTGATGGCTGGCAGATGGGATGTGAGCAGAAAGGGAAGACAGAGATTGTGAGGGTGACTTGGGGAGGAAGGGGAGGCCTGTGAGGTTCTCGTGGGCCTGGCACCTGGCATGGGACCCTTGTTCAGGGTCTGAACCTCTTAACCCTATTCCCTGGCTCCCCCAGCTCACTCTGCTCTCTGCCTGTGGGCCCTCAAATGACTGAACCCTTTTCCCCATTATACCTCCTTCTCTCCCCGGTAGCACCTACTTTAGCAGGCTCTGTGGTTTCTGTGGAAACTATGATGGTGACAGCAGCAACGACAACAAGAAGCCGGATGGCAACCTAGCACGGGACGATGAGGAGCTCGGGAACAGCTGGCAAATAGCAGGGGATGAAGATAAGGAGTGAGTGAGGACCCTTCCAGGGTGGTCCAGGTGGGCTCCCCATCTCGTCTCTGCCCTCCTGCTCCTTTTCCCTTTTAATATCCAAGCATTCTTTTTCCTCTCTACTCTTGTCTATCCCCTCACCTTCTGTAATTCTCCCAGCTCCATTCCCCTGCCGAGTTCACGAACCCCTTACCACCCCTCTCACGCCCTCCATTGATTCCACTGCCATCAAGTTGATTCAAAATCATGGTGACCCCATGTGTGTCAGAGTAGAACTGTGTTCATAAGGTTTTCAGTGACTGATTTTTTTGGAAGTAGATCACCAAGGCCTTTTTTCCAAGGTGCCTCTGGGTGACTTCGAACCTCCAACTTTTCGGTTAGCAGATGAGCGTGTACCACCCAGGGACTCTACCATTGATGATACCTAAGACTAAACCTTTCTGAGAAGCCCAGCCTCCTGCTTGCCTGTCTCTGAAGGCTGCCAGCCTTTTCCTCCTTCTCTAGGATTTGGTGTTCAAATGTTCTCCACCAGGGGTTGCCAAGAGCCATGAGACTATTATTTCAGCCTCACCGACAGCTGGGTTAGGGGCCACAGCTGGATGCAAGTCTTGGCTCTTAGTGGGTTTGGGGTGGGTCTCTTCTAGGTGCCAGAGGAACCAGGCAAGTCCCCCATCTTGTGACTCAGCTTTGCATAACAGCCTGCTGGGGCCAGAGTTCTGTGGACGGCTCATCGACCCCAATGGAATATTTGGGTATGAAGGAAGGCAGGAAGGGCTGTGCCTGGGATCCCACGAGGGTCTGCCCCTTCATTCCCTCTGACTCTATCTCTCCTCTCAGAGCATGCCTGCCTCACCTCAAGGCCTTTTTCTACTACGAGAGCTGCTTGTTTGACATGTGCAACTTTCAGGGGCTGCAGCAGATGCTGTGTGCCCAGATGGCGGCCTTGACGGAGACCTGCCAGGCTGCTGGCCTCATGGTGAAGCCCTGGAGAAGCCCCCAGTTCTGCCGTGAGTTGTGCCAAGAACAGGGGAAAGGGTGAAGGACCCCTTCCTTCAGACAGACATGAGCAGAGTCCTGGAATGTAGCATATGTGTTAGCTCGAGCTTGGACACGGCCCAGTTGAACTCCTTCAGTTTCATACAAAGACGGTGAAATCTGTAGCGTGAGGAACTCCCACTGAGAAATTCACAAAGACACTTGCAAACTCAGAAAACCTTCTAAGCGACAAGAGGCTGTGTGGAGTGAACATGTATAGGTTTCTCTGCGTGCCAAAGTCACCAAACGCATACATACAGTCCAAACATGTGCCATGTAGGGCATACCAGGACTGCCCCATTTCCTTGGCATTTGGGGCCCCAAAGCAGCACCATGAGTCTCTTCTGCCCTTGGTCAGTCTCCTCGCACCGAGGTCTGTGGTGGCCCTTTAGCTCCAAAGCTTGGTCGGGTTCCTGGAGACAGGGTCCTCCGGGCCTAGGGAGCAAAAGCCAGTCACGCTTCTCTCAGCCCCTGTCTCTCCTTAAAATTGGGCAGCCGAGTGGGCGGAGGATTCATGTGATGTGGAGGAATGGATGCCATGCCCCCTGTGATGAGCCAGGCATAGAGCCACTAGCTCACCCTCTGGGAACAGAGCACATATAAAGCTGGGGCCGCAGGCTGATATCGGAGCCAGACAAAGAAGCACAAAGGCTCTTTTAATCCCACGCTCCACCTGAGCACGTTTAATCCTCCACAGCATTGATTGCAAAGCCAATTATTTAGAAGTGGTCGCAAACGGGTGTGTGGGAGAGAAGAGACCGCAAAGGACAGCTACCCGGGGAGCGGGATGAGAGGGAGGAAGGACAGTCCTTGAGGTGTGTCTGCTTGCCCTCCTCCTGCACCCAGGCAGGTGCTTCTGGGTGCAGGGCTCTCTCAACATGCTCTCTCCTTTCCTGCCCTGCCTCACCCTCTTCTCCCCTGTGCTTCTGCCTCCACCAGCTCTGGCCTGCCCACCCAACAGCAGGTATTCCCTTTGTGCCAAGTCGTGCCCTGAGACCTGCCATTCAGGATTCTCCGGCATGTCCTGCCCGGACCGCTGTGTGGAGGGCTGCGAGTGCAACCCGGGCTTTGTCCTCAGTGGCCTTCGTTGTGTCCCCAAAAACCGGTGTGGGTGCCTCCAGTCCCCAGGGGCCTACTTTGAGGTGAGCAGCTGGGGTTGTCCTCTCAGCCCTGGAGCCAAAAAGGACACCTCAGAACACTGAAATCTGAGAGAACAGCCCTGGGCAAGGATGAGAGAGAGGCAGGAGAGAGAAGGCCAGGGAAACATAGGGCTGGGATTAGGAACACTCTGGCTCGGTGCCAACTTCCTTTTTTTTCCCACCCCCTTGCAGAACCAAAAGGTCAGCAGTTCGAATCCACCAGCTGCTCCTTGGAAACCCTATGGGGCAGTTCTACTGTGTCCCATAGGGTCACTATGAGTCAGAACTGACTCCATGACAATGGTTTTTTTTTTCGTTTGTTTTGCTTTGCAGAACCTGAGACCCCTAGCTCGCTCTCTTCCATCTTTCCTGCTGTCCCTCCCTGCCTTTTGCTTCAGATGGAATCCTTTTGCTCACACTTCAGATTTCCCCACGCCCTCTGCATTTCTGTATCTCATCTGTGCTCTTTCCAAAGCCTCTCTCCTCTCCTCCTAAGGGTCTCTTTCCCCTAAAGGATCTCAGCCTCTTCTTGGCCCCTGTTTTCAGTCTTCTCAGAGACAGCACTGGAGCCAGAGCCTCATCTGTGCCCTTCTCTCACAAGGCCCAGAGATGGAGCTGGTGTCCCTCGAAGCCCTCCACCATGTGACTTTCGCTTAGCTCTCCTCCCCTCTGCCCCACCCCCATTCTAGTCTGGCCCACCGAATGCTCTGGGTCCACACCTTGCTCTTCTCCCAGTTTTGCCATTTTGCTAGCCGCTCTTCACCTTTCTCTGCCTCCCAGCCACCTCTGCCTATTGGAATCCTTCACTTCCCCCCGGGCTCTGCTAAAGTACTGCCTCCTTTTTTATTTTTCTGTTTCTTTTCTTTCTTTTTTTTTTAAATTTTATTGTGCTTTAGGTGAAAGTTTACTGCGCAAATTAGTTTTTTCATTCAAAATTTTATACAAAAAATTCTTCTGTGACATTGGTTGCAGTTCCTGCAATGCTGCCTCCTTCTGGAAGCCTCCCTGATAGGCAAAGTCAGAACGCCTCTCTCTCTAAACTCTTTTGTTGTTGTTGTTGTTCGATACCTTCGAGTTGGTTCCGACTCATAGTGACTCTGTGTACACTGCCTGGTCCTGCGCCATCCTCATGACTGTAGCTATGCTTGAGCCCATGGTTGCAGCCACTGTGTCCATCCATCTCCTTGAGGATCTTCCTCTTTTTTGCTGACCGTCTACTTTACCAAGCATGATATCCTTCTTCAGGGTCTGGTCCCTCCAAAGAATGTGAGACGAAGTCTTGCCATTCTTGCGTCTAGGGAGCATTCTGACTGTACTTCTTCCAAGACAGATTTGTTGGTTCTTCTGGCAGTCCATGGTATATTCAATATTTTTTGCCAACACCATAATTCAAAAGCATCAGTTCTTCTTTGGTCTTCTTTATTCATTGTCCAGCTTTCATGTGCATATGAGGCGATTGAAAACATCATGGCTTGGGTCAGGCACATCTTAGTCCTTAAAGTGACATCTTTGCTTTTTAACACTTTAAAGAGGTCTTTTGCAGCAGATTTGCCCAATGCAATGAATATGTCATTTGATTTCTTGACTGCTGATTCCATGGGTGTTGATTATGGATCCAAGTAAAATGAAATCCTTGATAACTTCAATCTTTTCTCTATTTATCATGATGTTGCTTATTGACCCAGTTGTGAGGATTTCTGTTTTCTCTATGTTGAGGTGTAATCCATACTGAAGGCTGTGATCTTTGATCTTCATCAGTAAGTGCTTCAAGTCCTCTTTACTTTCAGCAAGCCAGGCTGTATCACCTGCATATTGCAGGTTGTTAATGAGTCTTCCTCCAATCCTGATGCTGCGTCCTTCTTCATATAGTCCAGCTTCTTGGATTATTTGCTCAGCATACAGATTGAATAAGTATAATGAAAGGATACGACCCTGAAGCACACCTTTCCTGAATTCTAAACCACGCAGTATCCCCTTGTTTTGTTTGAACAAGCACCTCTTGATCTATGTACAGGTTCCTCATAAGCACAGTTAAGTGTTCTGGAATTCCCATTCTTCGCAATGTTATCCATAATTTGTTATGATCCGCACAGTCCAATGCCTTTGCATTGTCAATAAAACACAGGTAAACATCTTTCTGGTATTCTCTGCTTTCAGCCAAGATCCATCTGACATCACCAATGATATCCCTCGTTCCATTTCCTCTTCTGAATCCAGCTTGAATTTCTGGCAGTTCCCTGTCAATGTACTGCTGCAACCACTTTTAAATGATCTTCAGCAAAATTTTACTTGTGTGTGATATTAATGATATTATTCAATAATTTCCAAAATCTGTTGGATCACCTTTCTTTGGAATGGGCACAAATATGGATCTTTTGCAGTTGGTTGGCCAGGTAGCTGTCTTCCAAATTTCTTGGCATAGATGAGTGAGCACCTCCAGCACTGCATCGATTTGTTGAAACATCTCATTTGGTATTTTGTCAGTTTCTGGAGTCTTGTTTCTTGCCAATGCCGTCAGTGCAGCTTGGACTTCTTCCTTCAGTACCATCACTTCTTGATCACATGCTACCTCCTGAAATGATTGAACATCAACCAGTTCTTTTTGGTACAGTGACTCTGTGTATTGCTTCCATCTTTTTTTGATGCTTCCTGCATCGTTTAATATTTTCCTGATAGAGATCTTCTAAAAATTGAACACTTACGCTCATCAGAAGACTTCACCAAAAGAGTGAAAAGAGAACCTACAGACTGGGGAAAAAATTTTGGACATTGCAAATCAGACAAAGGTCTAATCTCTAAAATCTACAAGAAAATCCAACACCTCTACAACAAAAGACAAATAATCCAATTAAAAAATGGGCCAAGGAAATGAACAGACACTTCACCAAAGAAGGCATTCAGCCAGCCAACAGACACATGAGGAAATGCTCTCAATCACTAGCCATTAGAGAAATGCAAATCAAAAGCACAATGAGATAGATACCATCTTACCCCAGCATTACTGGCACAAATAAAAAAAACTGGAAATAACAAATGTTAGAGAGGGTGCAGGGAGAATGGAACTCTTATGCACTGCTGGTGGGAATGCAAAATTATACAACCATTTTGGAAAATGATATGGTGCTTCCTTAGAAAGCTAGAAATAGAAATACCATATGATCCAGCAATCCCACTCCTAGAAATATATCTAGAGATAAGAGCTGTCACACAAATAGATATATGCACACCCATGTTCACTGCAGCATTGTTCACAATAGCAAAAAGATGGAAACAACCTAGATGCCCATCAACAGATGAATGGATAAACAAACTATGGTACATATACACAATGGAGTATTATGCACCGATAAAGAACAATGATGAATCTGTGAAGCATCTCATAACATGGATGAATCTGGAGGGCATTATGCTAAGTGAAATAAGTCAATCACAAAAGGACAAATATTGTATGAGACCACTACTGTAAAAACTCATAAAAAGGTTTACACACAGTTACGAGGGAGGGGCGGGGTGGGGGGGGGACACTAAATAGACAATAGATAAGTGGTAACTTTGGTGAAAGGTAAAACAGTACACAATACTGGGGAAGCCAGCACAACTGGTGCAAGGGAAGGTCATGGAAGCTTCATAGACACATTCAAACTCCCTGAGGGACCAAATTACTGGACGGAGGGCTGTGGGGACTATGGTCTCAGGGAACATCTAGTTCAATTGGCGTAGCATAGTTTATAAAGAAAACGTTCTGCGTTCTACCTTGGTGAGTAGCGTCTGGGGTCTTAAAAGCTTGTGAGCAGTCATCTAAGATAGTCCACTGGTCTCACCCCTTCGGGAGCAAGGGAGAATGAAGAAAACAAGATATAAGGGAAAGATTAGTCCAGAGGACTAATGGACCACAACTCCCATGGCCTCCACCAAACTGAGTCCAGTACAACTAGACGGTGCCCAGCAACCACCACTGACTGCTCTGACAGGGATCAGGATAGAGGGTCCCGGACAGGGCTGGAGAATAATGTAGAACAAAATTCTATCTCATAAAAAAAAAAGACACCAGACTTACTGACCTGACAGAGACTGGAGAAACCCCGAGAGTATGGCCCTGAGACACCCTTTTAACTCAGTAATGAAGTCACTCCTGAGGTTCACCCTTCAGCCAAAGATTAGACAGGCCCATAAAACAAAACAAGACTAATGGGGCACAACAGCGCAGGGACAAGGACTAGAAGGCAGGAGGGGACAGGAAAGCTGGTGATAGGGAACCCAAGGTCGAGAAGGGAGAGTGTTGACATGTCATGAGGTTGTTGACCAATGTCATAAAACAATATGTGTACTGTTTAATGAGAAACTATCTGTTCTGTAAACCTTCATCTAAAGTACAATAAAAAATTTTTTAAAAAAATTTTCCCCGTAGAATCCTTCAAAACTGCAACTCCAGGCTTGAATTTTCTCTTCAGTTCTTTCAGCTTGAAAAATGCCTACAGTGTTCTCTCCTTTTGGTTTTCTAACTCTAGGTCTTTGCACATTTCGTTATAATACTTTGTCTTCTCAAGCCACCTTTTGAAATCTTCTGTTCAACTCTTTTACTTCCTCATTTCTTCCATTCACTTTAGCTAGTGTACGTTCAAGAGCAAGTTTCAGAGTCTCTTCTGACATCCATTTTGGTCTTTTCTTTCTTTCCTGTCTGTTTAACGACCTCTTGCTTTCTTCATGTATGATGTCCTTGATGTCATTCCACAACTCGTCTGGTCTTCGGTCGTTAGTGTTTAATGGGTCAAATCTATTCTTGAGATGGTCTCTAAATTCAGTTGGAATATACTTAAAGTCATACTTTGGCCCTTGTGGACTTGTTCTAATTTTCTTCAGTTTCAACTTGATCTTGCATAGGAGCAATTGATGGTCTGTTTCACAGTCAGCCCCTGGCCTTATTCTGACTGATGATATTGAACTTTTCCATCGTCTCTTTCAACAGATGTAGTCAATTTGATTGCTGTGTATTCCATCTGGTGAGGTCCATGTGTATAGTCACTATTTATGTTGGTAAAAAAGACATTTGCAATGCAGAATTTGTTGGTCTTGCAAAATTCTATCATGCGATCTCTGGCGTCATTTCTATCACCAAGGCCATATTTTCCAACTACCAATCCTTCTTTGTTTCCAGCTTTCACATACCAATCAAAAGTAGTTATCAATGCATCTTGAGTGCATGTTTGATCAGTTTCAGGCTGCAGAAGTTGGTACAAATCTTCAATTTTCTCATCTTTGGCATTAGTGGTTGGTGCATTAATTAGAATAATAGTCATATTAACTGGCCTTCCGTGTAGGTGTATGGATATTATCCTATCACTGACAACATTGTACTTCAGGATAGATTTTGAAATGTTCTTTCTGACCATGAATGCAACACCATTCCTCTTCAATTTGTCATTCCTGGCCTAGTATACCATATGATTGTCCTATTTGAAATGGCCAATATCAGTCTGTTTCAGCTCACTAGTGGAGCCCTGGTGGTGTGGTGATTAAGAACTCAGCTGCTAACCAAAAGACTGGCAGTTCAAATCCACCAGCCACTCCTTGGAAACCCTATGGGGCACTTCTACTCTGTCCTATAGGGTCACTATGAGTCAGAATCGACTCCATGGTAATGAGAATGAAAATGCCTAAGATATCGATGTTTATGCATTCCGTTTCATTTTTGATGACTTCTGATTTTTTTCTAAACTCTTTAGCAAGTGTATATTATGTGTGTCAATGGTAGGCTACTACTATTGGGTGCCTTGATTGTCTTGTTCGGGTGCATGTCATATCTGAGTACACTTTCTATTAGTTCACTTGTTTACTGTCCCCAACTGGGTGGTGAGTTCTGTTAGGACAGGTACATTGTCTATCTTGTTCTTTACTGACTCCCTAACACCTAGCGTGACACAGATGGATAAAGATCTGTTCAAACAGTGAACTAACAAATGATTGAAAGAACAGATAAGCGAATGAATGCCGTACTTTCCCAATTAAGCTCTGAGCTTCTGCATGGCAGGAACACCTCCCCAGTGAGTAGGCAGGCCAGTGATCTGAATGGTAGTGAGCTACTGCAGCAGGGCTGGGAATAACCTCTTTCCCCTTCTTCCCTCCCCTAGGAAGGGGAGTCTTGGTATAAAACAGGCTGCAAGCAGCGCTGCTTCTGTGAGGGCAACAACAGAATTCGCTGTGTGCGCTGGAGTTGTGGGCCTCGGGAGATCTGTGTCCTGCAGGATGGCACCTACGGATGCCATGCCCAAGGTAAGCAGTGAAGGGGGGAAGGTGACTGGGAGGCGTTGCGGGGGGGGAACCCACATAGCTTTGAGCTAGGGCATGGGCCCAACCTAGAACAGCCTCCCCATAGAGCTGGGGATAACTAGGGCCATGAGGTATCTGCTCCCCAGAGTAGGAACAGCATCATTAGGGACCCAGAGAGTGAGGCTGGGGGCAAGCCCCCTCCTTATCATCTCCAAGCCAAGCAGACCACATGTTCTAGAGAAACAGGAATGGTCTGTGGAGGGGCCATGGGTACCATCCCAACATGGACTCACTAAATGACAGCTCTGGGTCAGGGCTTTCTGGGGTTCCTCAGGGACAGTAAGTCTCTGAACTCCTCCGCAGGTACTGGCATCTGCACTGCCTCAGGTGACCCCCACTACCTGACCTTTGATGGAGCCCTGCACCACTTCATGGGCACCTGCACCTACACCCTGACCCGGCCTTGCTGGATCGGAGCCCAAGAGAGCTACTTCACTGTGAGCACCACCAACGAGAACCGGGGTGGGAATCTCGAGGTCTCCTACATCAAGGCCGTCCATGTGCAGGTCTTCAACCTCCGGCTCTCACTGATCAAGGGTCGCAAGGTCATGGTGCGTGTCTTCCCACTCCCTAGACCCCACACTGCCCTAGCCTGCGTAGCTCCTCTTCTCTGCTCCTTCCTGCCCACACACCCACCTGTCTGGCTTCTTAAAGCAACTGGAGGCCCCTGCAGTAGACCCAATCCCCTCTTTCTTGGCTTCCCTCCTCCAGCTGTGAAACCCCTGCCACCTCCCTCCTGCGCTCATGTTTTTCTCTTTGCTGTCTTTGTCCCAAGTTCCTTTCTGACACCTTGGCTGTGCTTTCCCTGCCTCTGCAGCTGAACGATCGTAGGGTGTCCCTGCCCGTGTGGCCTGCTGAAGGCCGAATGAGCGTGGGGCTCAGTGGCTCCTTTATCCTTCTCCAAACGGACTTTGGGCTTCGGGTTCGATATGACGGGAACCACCTCGTAGATGTTTCAGTGCCCTCCTCCTTCGCTGGTCAGCTCTGCGGGCTGTGTGGTGAGTCCCCTGGGCGACTGCTGGAGCCAGGCACTAATCCTAGTCATCTTGGCTGTAACCAAAAAGGTTGGCAGTTTGAATCCACCAGCTGCTTCTTGGAAACCCCATGGGGCAGTTCTACTCTGTCCTATAGGGTCGCTATGAGTTGGAATAGACTCAATGGCACCAGGTTTGGTTTTATGATTTAAGTGCTTGTCAGCTGAAGAGTTGATGAAGACACTGCACATGAGAGTGGGGTCTTAAGGGAAGCTGAGATGGTTAACCTTCATCTGCTGAGTGAAGCGTGAGGAAGACTGAAGTACCGGAGTTGGGTCGCTGGTGGGTGCCTCTGCTAATTCTTCCCTCCTCCAGGGAACTACAACAACAACAGCTTGGATGACAATCTGCGTCCAGATAGAAAGCCAGCAGACAGCTCTGTCCAGCTGGGCGCAGCCTGGATGTTACCTTCTGCCTCTGAACCTGGGTGAGCAGGCAACTGGGGAGCCAGGGAGGGGGAGCTGGGCCTCACAGAGCAGCCTGGAGATGTGCCTGTGCATGCCCACTCCCTTTGGGCTAACCTTCCTCCTGCTCTAAGACTGGAGTTGGTGAAAAGTTGTTCAAACCTCCCATGTCCAGGCCTGTTGATTTCTCTCATGCTAAATGATCTATCTCTTTGGAGAACCCTCTTGGGAAGTCTACCCTGAGGTTTAACCTTTTTCCTTCCTGCTGCATTTGCTGGCCTTCCTACTTGAGGGCACCATTTTGTTCTCTTCCCCATCCCCATTCCTCTCCCTGTTTTCCCTCTCCACTTTGCCTCTGTTTTTTAGAAGGTTCCTCCAGCCCTAGGTTTCTATCCTTTCCTTCTCTCCTCATTCAGCTGCTTTGCTGCGGGTGGCAAGCCCCCTAGCTGTCCAGGGAAAGATATGGCAGACATCTGGAATAAGAACTGTGAGATCTTAATCAATCCTCAGGGTAAGCCACACCCCCTCCTGGTCCTTTTATCCTCCCCTAGAACAGGAGACAAAGGAGGGAGGCTGGTCACCAAGGGAGAAAGACTGAGGCATGAAACAGATGAACAGGAAAAGTCAGGAAGAAGGCAAATGGAAACACTGGGACAGAGGTCACTTTCTTGGGGACTATGACTGATCAGTCCTCCTTTGTGTCACAAGCAGTAGGTTCTCAGTAAATATGAGTTTCGACTGAAATGGATGTAGAATTAGCCCCAGAGAAGCTGCGTGGGCCTGCTCCCCTCCCTGGCCCACACTCCTCTCTCACACCTGTGTTGTCTCACTCTCCAGGACCCTTCTCCCAGTGCCATGAGGTGGTGTCCCCGCATCCCAGCTTCAGCAGTTGTGTGTATGGGCAGTGTGGGACTCAGGGTGACACCCTGACCCTGTGCCGCTCCCTGCAGGCCTACGCGGCCCTCTGCGCCCAGGCTGGCCGGCCCCCTGCCTGGCGGAATAGCACCTTCTGCCGTGAGTGATCTGACCAGCTGCTCCCGCAGCCTGGAGGAATCCCCCAGCACCCTGTCCTCTTTGTTCTCACAAATTCTGCCCCTCTACTCTTCCTTTCACAGCGTGGCCCTCCACACCCACATGGGACTCTCCTCTCCACTCTCCAGTCCTTCTCCAAGCCTAACCCCCATCCTCTACTTGCCTCCCTGCAGTGGAACCTTCTCTGTCTATTCTCACCTCACCCAAAAGTTCTGCCCCCATTTGGTTACTGCCCTGTTCCCTGGGGCAGCTCTGTTCCTTTCTTCTTCTCTTTCCACTCCCGGTAACTCCTGGTGCCCCAAGGCCAGGGAACTGGAAATGCCACTCTGCCCTTCCTGATGTGATCTCTCTTCTTAGCTCTGAAGTGCCCGTCTGGCAGCCACTACAGCCCCTGTGCCAGCCCCTGCCCAACCACCTGCCTCAGCCTGGACACTCCAAGAGACTGCCCAGCCATGCTCCCCTGTGCCGAGGGCTGCGAGTGTCAGAAAGGCCATGTTCTGAGTGGGACCTCCTGTGTGCCCCTCAGCCAGTGTGGCTGCACTGACCAGCAGGGCTCCTACCACCCGGTAAGAGGCCACACACTGCAGGTGCCCTCCCTTTCCAGCTCCACAAGTGTGGGGGCAGGACAAGCCCAGGCGAGGGGGCAAGAAGTCTCAGAGCCCGAGAAGGGGTAGGGCAGGCCAGTCTGAGGGGATGAGGAGCAAGCCTGGATGCCAAAAGGCTGAGAAGGGCTGAGAGGGAGGAGGGCAGCCAAGTGAAGTGAGCCTCAAGAGGACCTTGGGAGCCTCCATCCATCTCCAGCTTCCAAGTGTCTGTTGGCTGTCCTGACCCCCATGCCCCACAGGTCGGGGAGCGCTGGTATGCAGACAGCACCTGCTCCAGGCTCTGCACCTGCTCCAGCCACAACAACATCTCCTGCAGCCACACCAGCTGTAGCCCCAACCAGATGTGCTGGCCTCTTGATGGGCTGCTCCGCTGCCGGGCTGCAGGTAGGAGGGTGGGGGAGGACCACAGAGGAACCCCACAGCCACCAAGGCGAGCTCCTCCCATGCCCCCCCGCCATAGCCTTCCCACCTTCTCTAGCACTTGGGCTGGTAACCTGACTGTACTGAAGAGCTTCTAGAAGGGAAAGAGGACCTTCCCACTGCCAGAAAGGGCTCCCTGAGGTTTACCCATCACTCTCCCGTCGCGTCCAGGACACTTAGGGGGAGTATTATAAATCTCTCCCTGGGAGAATCATGTCAGCTCTACCACCAAGCCTCACCGCTGCCCCCCGCCCCCTCCCCCCACCGCTCCAGCTCTTGTATCTTGATTCTTTTCTTGAACTTTGTCTTCCTTCCCTTTTGAGGCTCCCTGGCCTCTACCACATCCTTTTCATGAAGGCAGGGAGAACTCAGAGCCACCTCCCTATGGATCCTGTTCTCTCCAGCATTCAGCCCTCCCTGGGCCATCTCTCTCTCTCCTCACAGGCATGGGAGTGTGCCATGTCTCAGGTGACCCCAACTATGTGAGCTTCGATGGCAGTTACCATTCCTTCAGGGGTACCTGCACTTACATCCTAGTGCAAGTGTGCCACCCCAACATGGACCTGCCTTTCTTCAAGATCAGTGCCAAGAACGAGAAGCAGGGTGGCGAGACCCCAGCTTTCTACCTCCACCATGTCAACATTTACATCTATGGTTCCCATATCACCCTGCAAAAAGACCACCATGTTCTGGTGAGCTGGGCAGCATAACCAGGGCAGGGAGGGAGGACGTGAGCTCAGGGGAGAGGATGCTAGTCCTTTTTCCTACTCATACGCCCTGCCTTCCTCTATAGATTGACGGCAAACCAGTCACTCTTCCTGCAACCACCCAAATTCGGCGGGTCAGCATTACTGCCAAAGGCATCTATACTGTGCTCAGTGCTTACTTTGGACTGCTTGTGAAGTTTGATGGCAGTCATCTCTTAGAGATCCAGATCCCTAGAGCCTATTATCAAAAGGTGAAGACACAACCTGGCTATTTGCAAGGAGAGGTATCCTAGCAGGGGACATTGATATCCTCCCAGACCACAGAGGTCACTCCCCAGAAAAGAGGAAAGCCAAGAGAGCACCTTTCTATTTAGAGTGGGAAAGAAAAAGCTACTATGCCTCCTCAGCACTGAAAAATCCCTCTGCCCGCCCAGGTCTGCGGTATGTGTGGAAACTTCAATGGAGAGGAAGAGGATGAACTAATGATGCCCGATGATGAACTAGCCCAGAATGACGTAGAATTTGGGAACAGCTGGAAAGATAAGGATGACTCTGACCCAAGGTAATTGTCCCCTAAGACTCTCTACCTTTTCATAGGAATAAGAGTTGGGAATCTAGATTGTATGGCACACCTGGGAAAGGAAGACCAGAACATTCCTTCGTTTATATAATTTGAGGGAGGATGGCTTCTGGCTTCCAGGGTTGCTGGAATCTATTTGGGGAAACACGAAAGTCTTCCTTTCTTTTCTTCGAAACTTGGGAGGAGACTGAGGCTACAATGGGAGGTTGGCCAGAGCTGGGACAGGCTTCCCAGTGAAGAGAAACAGGATTGGGAGTGGCTGATAGTTCTCCCAGGGTCTTTGACCCAAATCGTTTTCATAGGTAGGGCAGTGGCTGTCCCTATACTGACCCCTTTCCTTTCCCAGTTGCCAACGAGATGACCAGGAAGTTCGGCTAGAACACCGGGAGAACCCAAACACGAACTGCAAGCCAGATGACCTAGTGAAGGCCCAGCAGCGATGCCAAGCAGCCTTTCAGGGTTCTGGCTGGTCTGAATGTGCCACCCAGGTGGTCCCCAAACCCTTCCTGATCGGCTGTACCTACAACCTCTGTGAGCTTAGAGGTGAAAACCGTGCCATCTGTGATGCTCTGCAAGCCTTCGGAGTTGCCTGCCAGGCCCAGGGGCTCACGCCTCCATTTTGGAGAAACAATAGCTTCTGCCGTGAGTGTCCTGTATAATATGTCCCCTATGGTCACCTCAGGAGCCCTGGTGGCACAGTGGTTAAAGTACTTGGCTGCTAACTGAAAAATGAGTGGTTTGAACCCACCAGCTGCTCCATGGGACAAAGATGTGGCAGTCTGTTCCATAAAGATTTACGGCATGGAAACCTTATGGGGCAGTTCTACTCTGTCCTATAGGGTCACTATAATCGGAATCTACTTGATGGCAATGGGTTTGGTTTTATGGTCACCTCAGAACTGCTCCAAATCCTGTTTTTCTCTGTGCATGCCTTAAATCTCTCCTATTCTTCTTTTCATTGCTTCTACCCTAGTCTGACCCCATTGTCTCCCTCACGTGGGCTCTTTACAATAACTTCTTCATCAGTGCTGCTGCCACCAAGAGTGCCCCTTGGCTGCCGCTCATTGACTCCTTTGCCAATGCTGTCTTTCCAAAGGAAATATGATTGAGTTGCTCCTCTGCACGGCTGTTGCCTGCAACATTAAGTTCAAGTGAAGGTGCATCTTCACGTCAGCCTGCACCCAACTTCTGCACTGCGTCTCCACACCTCCCTGCCTTTATATGTGCTGTTCCCTGTGCCTGGAAAGCTCTTCTGTCTTCTCCCCTTGTAAAAATGGCATGGTGGAGGTATCTGACCTCCTTGTCTAACTTCCCAAGGGGAAAGGAGAGTCAAGATCAACAGCCCAAGGCTGATTCATATGAGATGGAGGTCAGACGTACCTTCTCTCTCCAACCTTTTTACTAGTTATGACACCAACCATCCCTCCCACGGCACTCTCTACTTCTCTGCTGGGTTTCATAAATCATTGCAATGGCCACACAGAACTCACAGACCATACTGACAGTTATGGGGTTTATTACGGAATTAACAGATTACAATTCAGGTTCAGGAACACTCAGCATACAGTTCTTCGATCAGGACAGCCTCTTCTCAGCCATGCCATAGGCAGATCTCTCTCTCTGGCCCTTGGCCCCTCAGCCTGGCCTCTGCTCTGCTCTGGCAAGTGTTATGAAGCTCTTTTAGCTCTTTCAATAAGTGCCCGGAGGCACCTCACTCCACCAGGAAACCCTGGCCCAAAGGCGCTCAGCTCCCTCCCTCTGTGGGAAGGCACACCCACTGCCCCATCTCCTGCCGGTGGGTCACGAGCTGGGGAACATAGCTCCGTCAAGTGCCCGGAGGCACCCCACTCTGCCAGCAGGCTTCCTGCCTGAATGCGCTCAGCTCTCTCGCTCGGTGGCACACCTACCTCGCCGTCTCCTGGTTCTGCTGCCTCTGCTGCCATCATTTCTCTGCCTCTGCTTCTCTCCATCTTTGGTGTTACAGCTCTCTCTCTCAGTCTCCTGGTTTCAGGAGCTTCTCAGCACAGGGATCCTGGGTCCAAAGGACTCTTTGTACTCCTGGCTCTTCTTTCTTGATGGTCATGACATCCCCCTATCTGCCTCTGGGAGGGCTCATTTTAAGCCTAGCAAGATGGCAAAACTGACCAATCCCCTTGTTAGAGTTCCATACACCTTATGTGCATGGTCCCAACCCCACAAGGGCGCCGAGAACCTTATTTGCATTATTAGCAAACTGTCCAATCCCCTTGTGGGGCACAAGCACCTCATTTACATAGTCCCACCTAGTCATTTGGTGAGAGTTACAAAGACTATGGCCAGAAGGGTCATAGTAAGTAATTCACTGCACCGCAGCCCTCTAGGCAGAACCCTAGGCCTCCTTCTGAAGATCTTTCCTTAGAAAAAATAACTTTTGAGATGTAATTCACATACCATCATATTCACCCTTTTAAAAGTGTACAATTTGGTAGTTTTTAGTATATTCATAAGGTTGGCTACCATCACCACTATCTAATTTCAGGATCTTTCAAATTTTAAAACAATGATTAGATTGTTTTTAGTCTGTAATATATTTGTTTGCATGGTTCAAAACTTTAAAAACTATTAAAAGATACCCAGCGAAAAGTCTCTTTCCCACCCTGACCTCAATCTGCCCAGTTCCCAGCCTGCCAAGGTACCTGCTCTTATCAGCATCTGAGAATTCTTCCAGTGATCTTTTATTTATGCATATACAAACACATAAAATCTGTGTTTTTTAATTTTCTCCTTTTACTTATGAATGGTAGCATACGAAACCCAGTATTTTGCACTGTATTGTTTTTAATAGAATTTATTTTTTAGAGCAGTTTTATGTTTCCAGAAAAATTGCTCAGAAAATGAATTCCCATATATCCTTTCTCCCTACCCCCAATTTTCTCTATTACTAACATTTTGCATTAGTGTGGTACATTTGTTATAGTTGGTGAACCAATACTGATGCATTAACTGGAGTCCATGGTTTACATTAGTGTTCACTCCTTGTGTTGTACATTTCTATGGGTTTTGACAAATGCATAATGTCATGTATCCACCATTACAGTATCATGCAGGATAGTTTCACTGCCCTAAAAATGCTCCAACTATTCATCCCTCCTCCCCAAATCCCTGGCAACTGCTGATCTTTTTGCTGTCTCCATAGTTTTATCTTTTCCAGAATGTCATATAGTTGGAGTCATAGTATATGTAGCCTTTTCAGACTGGCTTCTTTCACTTAGCAATATGCATTTAAGGTTCCTATGTGACTTTTTGTGGCTTGATAGCTCCTTTCTTTCTATTGCCACATAATATTCCATCATATGGATGTACCACAGTTTATCCATTCACTTTTCAAAGGACATTGTGGTTGATTCTAATTTTTGGCAATTATGAATAAAGCAGCTATAAACATTCTTGTATAGATTTTTGTGTGGACATAAGGTTTTGATTCATTTGGGTAAAAACCTGGAAGTTCATTGGCTGGATTGTATGGTAAGCCTATGTTAGCTTTGTAAGAAACTGCCAAACTGTCTTTCAAAGTGACTGTACCATTTTACATTCCCACCATCAATGAATAGAAGTTAGTATTGGTCCACATCCTTGACAGCACTTAATGTTGTCAATATTCTGGATTTTAGCGATTCTAATAAGTAGGTAGTGGTATCTCATCGTTGTTTTAATTTGCAATTTCCTAATGACATATGATGTTGAGCATCTTTTCATATGCTTATTTGTCATTCTGTATATCTTCTTTGGTGAGGTGTCTGTTCAGATCTCTTGCCCATTTTGTAGTTGAGTTGTTTATTTTATTTCATTGAGTTTTAAGAGTTCTTTGTGTATCTGATATACAAGTCCCTTATCTTCTCAGATATGTGTTTTGCAAAGATTTTTCCCAGTCTGTGGCTTATCTTTTTATTCTCTTAACAGTGTTTTTTTGCAGAGCAGAAGTTAATTTTAATGAAGTCCAACTTATCATTTTTTTCTATTATAAATTGTGCTTTTGGTGTTATATCTAAAGTTGTTACAAAACCCAAGGTCACCTAGATTTTTTCCTAGGTTATCTTCTAGAAATTTTATAGATTTGTGTTTTACATTTAGGTATATGGTCCATCTTTGTGAAGGTATAAGGTCTAGCCAGTTTTTCCAAAGTCCCCGGGTGGCACAAATGGTTAAGCACTCGACTACTAGCTGGAAGGTTGGTGGTTCAAACTCACCCAGAGGCACCACAGAAGACAGGCCTGGCAATCTGCTTCCAAAAGGTCACAGCCTTGAAAACCTTATGGAACAACTCTACTCTGGACACATGGGGTCGCCATGAGTCGGAATTGACTCGACAGCAACTAACAACAGCAAGCTAATTGTTCTAACATAAATAAATGACTAGCCTGTCTTTTCCTCACTGACTTGAGATACCACAATTTATCAAATACTAAATTCCTATTTGGGTCCATATCTGGGCTTTCTCTCCTGTTCCATTGGTCCATCTGCCTCTTCATGTGCCAGGAACACAATATTGTGTTACTGAGAATTTCAAATATGTTTTAATTTCTGGTAGGGACACTTACTACTCACTCCTCTTAATTTTCAGGGTTTCCTTGGCTTTTCTAGTTTCTTCACCTCAACTTTAAAATCATCTTGTCCTATTAAAAATAAAAACTTTGTGGGTATATTTTATTGGGATCATATTAAATGCATAATTTTTTATTTTTATTTTTTATCGTTGTAGTTTAAATGAAAGTTTACAATTCAAGTTAGCCTCTCACACAAAAATTTATACATACATTGTTTTGTAGCCCTGCTTGCTCTCCCTATACTGTGACAGCACACTCTTTCTTTCCACCCCGGATTTCCCATGTCCATTCAACCAGCTCCTGACCCTCTCTGCCTTCTCATCTCGCCTCTGGACAGGAGCTGCCCATTTAGACTCATGTATCTACTGGAGCTAAGAAGCACAGTCTTCACGAGTATCATTTTATGTCCCATAGTCCAGTCTAATCTTTGTCTGAAGAGTTGGCCTCGGAAATGGTTTTAGTTTTGGGATAACAGAGAGCCTGGGGGCCACGTCTTCCAGGGTCCCTCCAGTCTCAGTCAAACCAGTAAGTCTGGTCTTTTTACTAGAATTTGAGTTCTGCACCCTACTTTTCTCCTGCTCCATCAGGGACTCTATGTTGTGTTCACTGTCAAGGCGGTCATTGTGGTAGCCGGGCACCATCTAGTTCTTCTGGTCTCAGGCTGATGACGTCTCTGGTTTATGTGGCCCTTTCTGTCTGTTGGGCTAATACTTTCCTTGTGTCCATGGTGTTCTTTATTCTCCTTTACTCCAGGTGGGTTGGGGCCAATTGATGCATCTTAGATAGCCCCTTGCTAGCTTTTAAGACCCCAGATGCCACTCGCCAAAGTGGGATGCAGAACATTTTCTTGAAAAACTTTGTTATGCCAGTTGACCTGGATGTCCCCTGAAAGCATGGTCCCCAGACACCTGCCCCTGCTACTCTGTCCCTGTGTTTGGTTGTATTCAGGAAACTTCTTAGCTTTAGTTTAGTTCAGTTGTGCTGACATTCCCTGTAGTGTGTGCTGTCCTTCCCTTCACCTAAGATAATTCTTGTCTACTTTCTAGTTGTGAATACCCCTTTCCCTCCCTTCCCACCCTAGTAACCATCAGAGAATGTTGTCTTCTGTGTTAAATGCATAATTTAACTTAGGAGGAACTGACATCTTTATGTTGTTTACTTCCCATGAACATGGTAGGCATTTCCATTTTTTTCATGACTACTTTTGCTGGAAGGCCTTTCTTTAATTCTCCAAACAGAATTCATACTCCCTGCTCTGTGTGCCATTACACTTTGTCCACACATGCCTGTCACCTCGTTTACTGACCATACACGTCAAGGCTGTATTGCTGGCTGACCTCTGTCTCCCACATTGAATTGGGAGGGCCGTTCTTATTCGTTTTTTCCTCAAGCCCTGGCATATAGTTCAGGCTCAGAAAATGTTTGTTGAATGAATAAGGAAAGGAAGAAAAATCCCCAAATCTTGTAGCCCCCCATTACTTCATGTTTCACAGCCTTAGCTACTACTTCCAGGACCAAGAAAGTTGCCCCAAATCTCATAGCCCCAAAGGAAAAACTCCTAGCTCGGTTTCCACATCCCTTGTCCCCTGCTTCGCACTCCCTTGCCCCCTCCGCTTACCCCACTCTCCCTTCCACCCCACAGCTCTGGAATGCCCCGCCTATAGCAGCTACACACACTGCGCTCCCTCCTGCCCGCCTTCCTGCGGAAACCTAAAGGGCCAGTGTGAGGGCACCAAACTCCTCTCCACCTGCTTCGAGGGCTGCATTTGTAACCCTGGCTATGTGCTCAGTGATGACCAGTGTGTTCTCAGGAATCAGTGCAGCTGCAAGGACGCCAAGGGTGGCATTCTTCCCGTAAGTAGGGACAGGAAATAGGGTTGGGGACCCACCTTGAGGAAGGAGCTTCCTCTTTCCTATCAGCCTGGGACATCTATGTCTCTATGCTGGCTCTGGAGTGTGGCAGCTGATAAGAGGGGTGGGGTGATCTCTAGCTAGGCCTGGGCTGGAGGTTTTGGATCTGAGGAATCCACCAGCTGGTAGGCAACATGATCTAGTGGAGGGAGCATAGCCTTGGTGCAGGCTGACCTGGGATTGAATCCTGATTGTACTGCTAACCAGTCAGGTGACCCCTGTTACTTCAGTTTTCTCATCTGTAAAATCGGTTCAGTAGTAACATCCTGAAGCACAAAGGTAAGACAATACCTCTCAAGGGGATATAGGAGCATATCGGTCCAAATGGCACTTATAACTGGCAGCTGAGGCAGCATACGGCCAGTGTTAATTAAAACATTCAGACCATGGGCTTAGGCTGAAGGGGTAATAGGAGGGAGAACTGGCCCTTCCTTCCTCACTCCTTTGCTCTTCTTGTGGCTTCTACAGGCAGGTAAGACCTGGCTGTCCATTGGCTGTACCCAGAGCTGTGTCTGCACAGAGGGAGTCATTCAGTGCCGGATCTTCCACTGTCCCTCAGGCTCCCACTGCCAGCCCAATGCCAAGGGCAACAGCAACTGCGTACCCGACTGTAAGGGAAAGGAAGAAAGGAGGGCTCAGGGCTGAGGTGGAATAAGAGGCAGGAAAAGAAGGGACTTAGACTGGAGAAGCTATGAAGAGAGATGGGCCTGAGCACAGGCATCAGGGTTGGGTGACTGAGTCTTGAGGCCTGGGTTCTAATTATGGCTCTCACCAGCTCTGTGGCCATGTGCATTGACTCTCTCTGGAACTCATTAGCTTATGGGCAAAAAGAGGGGGCTGGACAAGGAGATCCTCTACGGTTGTTAAATGGGCTGGGAGAGAGAGGAAGTTTAAGATCAAGTATCCAGGAAACCCAGGGCTAAAAGGCAGGGTGACAGGAGACATCAGGATGGGTAAGGGGATTCTAGGACTGCTCTGTTTGTGCAGGGTCTCTTCTCAGAGCTTGCCCTTCTTGGCAGGGTTGGATCATTGCTCAGTCTCTGGGGACCCCCATTACCGCACATTGGATGGCCTAAGCTACCACTTCCAGGGCCGCATGACCTACACTCTGGTAAAGACCATGGATGTGCTCCCCGATGGGGTGGAGCCCCTGGTCGTGGAGGGTCGCAACAAGATGTACCTGCCCTGGAGCCCAGTCTTCTTGCATGAAGTTCTCGTATATGTCTATGGCTTTAGAATCCAGCTCCAGCGTGGCCTGGAGGTTGTGGTAAGAGCTGGGCCAGGGCTGGGAAGGTCTGGGAAGGCAGACTGAGGCCTTGGAGGTGCCCAGAACAGGGGAATCCAGGACTCCCTGTTCCCTGGGAAGTTCCTGGCAGGGGCAGCCTGTAAAAGTCAGAATCAGTACCAAGCTCACCTCATGGGGAGAGGCAGAGGAGGGCAGTGGGATTAAGCAAAAGGCTGGAGAGAGACATGGAAAGAGAGAGGAGGAGAGAGCACATGGTGTGACTGTGAGTCAGGCCTGAAGAAGTATCAGGGCCTCCATTGTGCCAGGTTTTAGCAGGGACCAGATTGGGGCTGCACCAGGAGTAGACTCAGGGAGGCCTCTGCCATGTGGGATGGCAGGATACCTGCAGCTTCTGTCTTCCTCCTCCAGGTCAACTATGAGAAGGTTGCCATTCCCTACAAGCCCAGCGAGCACCTGCAGGTCTCCCTGCGGTCTCACCGCCTGTACCTGACCACTGACTTTGGGCTGTCCATCAGTTTCGATGGGAACAAAAATGCAGGTACCTGAGTGTGGGGGAGGGGAAACAACATCTGAGACAGAGAGAGGGCTGCTGCTGCCACAGAGTGGGACACAAGCTGGGGAGGCGCTGGGAGGATGTAGGAAAAGGGAGAAGCTGCAGAGCACAAATGGGGCCTCTAACCTCTGCGTGCCTCCTTCCTGCTGCAGTGATCTCTATGCCCAGCATGTACCAAGGCCTTGTGCGCGGCATGTGTGGGAACTTTGACAGGAACCAGAGCAATGACTTAATGTTGCCCAGTGGCGCCATCACCCACAACATTAACATCTTTGGCAACAGTTGGGAGGTGAAGACAGTCGAGTCAACCCTGGCTCGTGTTCCAAGGTGAGAAGGGTTGGGCAGTGAGGGAAGGCCCTGGTGAAAACAACCCTCAGGGAAATGAGCCATGGCTTAGTGTCTGTCTACACTTTGTACCCTTATGTTCTCCTGGCAAAAGAGGAAAAATGAGGGAGAGAGCTCAAAGAGTCTTGGCCTGGTCTCCCTAATTCTGTCCTTTCCTCTCTTACTAACTAGAGGCACCTGCTTTGTGGAAACCCTAGTCTGAGGAGGTAGAGGCCTTCAGGGGCCATGTGCCCATGCATGTCCCTTAGCCTTGGTCCCCAGTTGTTGTTCTTCTTTTGAGTTCACATTCCTCGAGGGCCTCACCTGGCCGCTTGCTGTGTCTGCTCCAGGGCCATACAGGTGGAAGAAGAGGAAGTGGAAGAAGGGGAGTCAGGCTTCCATGTGTCAGAATGCAGCCCGGAGCAGCTGGAGCTCATCAACAGCACCCAGGCCTGTAGGGTGCTGGCTGACCCCAAGGGCCCCTTTGCTGCCTGTCACCAGACTGTGGTGCCAGAACCCTTCCAGGAGTGAGTCTGAGGCCCAGGGTGTGTGGGCTCAGCCGAGGCTCCCACCCTGGCCTCTCTGTGGGTCCTGCTGTCCGCTCTGACCTGCGCTAGGTTCAGTTGGCTTTTCTCTCTTTCTGTGGCCCCATTTCCTGGTGACCCTCGTGGCCCCCACCTAGTTTCCTTCTGCTTGGCTGCTTCAGGCCCTCTTCTGCGGGGCTGAGTAACCTTGCCTCTCCCTCTCTGACAGCCGCCCCCCACTGTCCCCTCCCCCAGGCACTGTGTGTTTGATCTGTGTGCTGCCCAGAATCCCAGGGAGCTCGAGGAGCTGCGCTGCCAGTTGCTCAGCGGATATGCCCTCATCTGCCAGGAGGCGGGTGCTGCCCTGGCCGGCTGGCGTGACCACACCGGCTGTGGTGAGGCACTGCCCTTCCCTGGGCACTTGCCCCGACCCCATCTGCCATTTCTCCCCTCAACTCTGATTCCCCTTCGTTGTTTCCCCATCTTGGCTTTCTAACGGGTCTCCCCATCCCCCAGCTCCCCATTTTAATGTCAGCACATCCTTCCAGCCTGACTCCTGCTCTGCCTCCCGTTCTAGTTGCCCTAAAGTGCAGCCTGGGAAGCCTCACCACCACTGTGGCTACCCCTCCTGCTCCTTCTCTCCAAGCCCACCTTTGCTCATCCAGTTCCTTCACAGGCTTTGAAGTCTCTGACAGGAAGACACACCAACAAAGCCAGCCATGAATTCTGGCTTTCCTGCCCATAACGAGCTCTGTTCTGTTCGCTCCCCCTCTTCCAGCTTTTGCCCCCATATTGCCCAAACCTGTGTGGCCTGCCCCAGCCACCTTCTGACTGTGACTCTGTTCCCTTAGCCTTGGCATGTCCAGCTAATACTGTGTATCAGAGCTGCATGACCCCCTGCCCAGCCTCTTGTGCCAACCTGGCGGCGCCCAGGGACTGTGAGGGCCCCTGTGTGGAAGGCTGCGCCAGCCTCCCTGGCTACATCTACAGCGGTGCTCAGAGCCTTCCTCTGGCGGACTGTGGCTGCATCAATGACGGCATCTATTACCAGGTCCAGGCTGCATGTGGAAGGACTTGGGGGAGCAGAGATGCAATAGTAGAGCCAGACTAGGGACAAAAACCAGATCTTCTGCTTCTGACCCTTCTCCCTTTTCCAGCGGGGTGACAGCTTTGTGACCAAGGATTGCTCCCAGCGCTGTACCTGTGCCAGCTCTGGGGTCCTGCTGTGTAAGCCCCTCAGTTGCAGCACTGGAGAGATCTGCACCCTGGGGAACCTCACCCGTGGCTGCTTCCGAGGTGAGCCTGGTCCTCCCCTCCTTGGCTGCAAGCTGCCCCCACAGCATGGTGTGTCCCTGGACCAACAATTGCCCTCCCTGTCCCATGCCTGGGACTTCTCCACACTGATGTCAGAAAGTTTGTGCTGTTTAAACCTGCTCTTTCTCACTTAGTCCCTTCCTTTTTTAGGGAGGGGCAAAGGGACAGGACCTAACGTTCCCTAAGCATCGGTTCTCTGCCAAGCACCGTACTAGATCCTTTCCCTGGCATTAAAACCAAAAAAACAAACTCATTACTGTCGAGTGGATTCCAACTCATAGTGACACTACAGGACAGAGGAGAACTGCCCCATAGAGTTTCCACGGAGCTGCTGGTGGATTCAAACTCTGACTTTTTGGTTAGCAGCCATAGTGCTTAACCACTGCACCACCTGGGCTCCTTCCTAGCATTAGCTTCCTGATATCCCCTTGAAGCCTTACTTCAGTGCTTGCTGGTGGGTATATCATCCCCATTTACAGGTAAAAAGAGAATGGAGTTCAGAGAGGTTCAGCAATTTCCCCAAAGCCCAGGGCTAGCAAGTGCAGAGCCAGGATTGGAAGCCAGGCCAGTTGACCCCTGACCAGTCATTCCTAGCTATGTGCCATTGCTTCCTTCCCCAGGTCCCAGCCAGACTTCCGCCTGGCTATGCATCTCCTGCCAGAACTGGGAGGCTCCCCTTGGTACCTTCTTACAACTTCCTCCCTCCTTGCAGAAAGCCCATGTCTACAGAACCCCTGTCAGAATGATGGACGGTGTAGGGAGCAGGGAACCAGTTTCACCTGTGAGTGTGAACTTGGTTACGGGGGAGACCTCTGCAATGAGCCTCGGGATGTTCTACCCCCTGAAAAGCTAGGTAAGGACTTCATCCCAGGCCCTGTATCCTCACAGCTTGTTCCCACCAACACTGCCACAGAATTATATAATATATATTAATGTTACAATCCCTTGAGGCAAACAGGACAAGGATCCTCAAAGAATCAGAGTACTTGTGTCCATCTTCTACCCACATATTCCAGAATCTTCTCTCTGAACCTTAGCTCCCCACTTCTGTGATCTAAATGCCTCACCCCTGCTGTTATTTCCCCATCATACACCCCTCCATGCCTCTCCAATATCTTTTGCTGTTTTTCCCTATCGCAAACCAGAATTTCCTTGAGCCTCTGGGCCAGTGGTTCTCAAACTTTATCTTTATCTTACCTAAGATTGTGGAGGGAGGGGAGGCTTGTTTAAAACATGCAGTCCAGGACTTACCCCCAGAGATTCTCCTTCAATAGGTCTGGAGTGGGCCCAGAAATCTGCATTTTAACAAGCTCCCAGGTGACGGAGGAAAGTGTTTGCAGGGTTACATTTGGAGAGACATAGGCCAAGCTGATAGTGCAGCCTGGTCTCCAAAGGACCAGCTGGAGAAGCAGCCTCCTCAAAAAGCTATGGGAGTGTGTGTCTGGAAACAGACATGGTTCTTGGGGGTGACTAAGGCCTTGGAGGGCTTACCCCACAGCCTCCTGGAGGGAGAACCAGCCACACCCAGAGATTTAGGGGAAATGTCCATTCAGGGTGGCATTTAGTGTGAGGGAGTGTCTCCTCCCCTACCCTTCAATGCCTCACTCCTTCCTATCCCACATCCCTATTTCTGTTCCCTGCTCCCCTCAGAAGGGTCCAACTTTGTGGCCGTGCTGTTGGGAATGCTGGTGCCCATGGCATTCATAGTGCTGGCAGTGACCAGAAAGTACCTTCACAGGAAGAGGAGGAGGAGGTGAGTTCAGGAGAGGGGTTGAGGGGGACAGGACAGGGTGAGTAAACAAGGGGAGTGGGCTGTGGTCTAGGGCAGAAGGAAGCTGACACAGTGAGCCTCCATCGGTTCCCCGACACCATTTAGGGAGAAAATGACGAGCCAGAACCTAGACCGTCCAGTGGACATGGGTGAGAACCAACCCCACAGTCCCAAACTTTGGCCATCCTGAACAGGGTGGGCTGAGGGGAGAGCCAGAGATTCTGATCTGGAACTGAGTCTGCCTCTAATATAAGTTTTCTCATTTTTGCCTCAGATTTTGTTCCAGAGAGAGCCTTCAAGGTCGCTCAATTTTGAGTTGTCCTCAAAAACGAAGAGATAAAATAAAATAATTTATTTTTGAGATGTGAATTTCTGTGTGATCATGGAGGAGGCAGGAGTTGGGTCTGTGAGGTAGGTTTAGGATGGGATATGAGGGCGGGAGGTGTGTGGGGGCCAGGGCTGAATTCTGTGCAAAACATCTAGAAAGGAACCTAGGAGTGAGGAATTGAGGGGTGTCCCTTAGACAAAGCCACATATGGGTGGGGCAGTCCTTCTGAAGCCTGGGTGGTCTCCAGGGTGGGCCATGCAGCCCTGGGGAGTCTACTCTCAGGGGGAGAGGTAGAAGGGGCAGGGAAGGAAGAGAGAATGAAGGTTGGAGTGTAGCCCCGAAACTATGGCCTCTGGGATTCAGGAGAAAGCTTCACGTTTTCTAGTCTCTATCTCAGGTCTCTGAGCTCCCCACCAAGTGTAGTGAAAGGTGATTCTGAGCAGAGGCTAAGAATGGGAAAGTGGCTTTTCCCAAAAGGTGAACTGGCCTGTGACCCTCTGGGAGGTCACATCCTACTGACCCTTGTCCATCTCACAAAAGGGCCTAGGGTTATTACGGTAACCAAGAATGGGGTATGGTGGGAGGCTTGCTGAGGAGTCTGGAGCTCTGTCCAGGTAGTAGCAAACCACTAACCCCAGGGTGAGACCAACATTCTGACCCCTCCAACCAGGCAGGTCCTTGCTTGGGGGAGGAGGCTGGGTTCCTGCTTGAGCTCTAAGTACAATAAGGCTGTGAACTGGGGGGTCTGGGTGTAGACCCCAAAGGGAAAGGGGACTTGGGCTTGGGGATGCATAGGCAAACAGGACACTGAGTTCTAGAAAGGTATCCTTACCCTGTGGGCCCTCTGGAAAGGCCAACCCTGCAGCCACCTTCGTTTGAGGAAGTGAGACCCAAACTGGGTGGTGAACAGGGCCCAAGGAAGGAAGGGTATACCCCCCTAATCAAGCCACTCTGCCCAACTTGGCTTTCCCTTCTCTTAACTGGGGAAGCAGCTCGCACTCAGGGGGCTGGGCGATGGCAGGAAGGCTCAGGGCAGCTTCTGGAACTGGGCTGGATATACTTTAGCCTGATGTCATGGGACTCCCTGCTGCTCCATGGTGACCTCCACGATGATCCTGGCTCCTTCACCTGGTCTTTGACTCTTTGCCTCTACTCTTATCTCTGCCCTGCTCCCTAGACCTTTCTGCCTCTCCTCACCAGCTCTCTAGGGTCACCTTATCTAGCTCCACAGTCTGATTGGCAGGAGGTTGGCCTGGGCCTTCATCCTCCAGATAGACATCCACTTTCAGGACCCAGATCCCCACCTTCCTTGGCAGGACTGAGTTCCTCTCACCCCACACCCTCTCAGTGGTACAAAACATGGATATGTCATCAGGGAAGGGAGGGGACAGAGGACTCAAGAGCATTAAGGGCTCCAGAAGAAGGCTGTAGAGGTAGGAAATCAGAGACAGGATGATGGTGAGGCTCCCTGGGCTGCGGGGGTGGGGGCAGAGCTGATGTGTAGAGTCCCACACTGACCTCAACACAACAGGGGGCAACTGAGATGCAGAAATGGAAAAGGCCACTCCAGCTAAACAAAGCTTGTCGCTTCAAGGCCTGTCTCTGCAGGTACCCCTGAGGGGCGCAGAGTGGGGAGCAAAGAAGGAAACCGAGGTGTTGAGACAGAAAATGGGCAGTCTGTGCCTGGGATTGACCCCATCCTCATCTCCCTGTTTGGGAGGGACAAGTTGGGGGGAAGATACTCAGGTGGTTTCCCCTCCCCTTCCCAAGAAGCTGGGAGAACCTGCCAGGGCAGCATCTTGAATAGGGGAATTATCCTCCCAACCCAGAAGTGTGTATGTAGGCGTGCGCGCATATGTGTGTCCACGCACACACAGGGTTCCATCTTCACCACTCCCAACTATCTGCCCCTCCCTAGCTAATCTAGACACTCCCCCCTTCATTGCCTTAAAACAAGGCCCAGCTGTCAACATCTGGCCCACATCTGTCTCCTTCATCTGAGCCCCCCACCCTAGCCTATGCTCCCCCTCCCTTTCAGGGGGCTACTGGGCAGGGCTAGGAGCTCAAGACCTCCCCTCCGCTCCTCATACAGCCCCTTGCCATGGCTAAGGAACCAAGGAGGGGGGCTGCCCCACCCCGGAGGTGCCCCAGGCTCTTGGCAGAGCCAGCTGGAGCCGTTAGAAGCAGCTGCCAATGACTCATCTCCCACTGCCCCCACCCCACCACCTCAAACACACCCTGGGGCTGGGAACCAAGCACCCAGACCCTCACAGCCCTGCTGTCTCCAAACCACCGACGCTTCTGTCTGCCATCAAGCCCCTCCATACTCAGACCCTGCTCTCCCCAGAAACTTATTCCCTCCTCCCCCACAACTCCCAATCACCCCCAGAGCTGGAACACTTCCCATTTTCTTTTATTTATACAAAAACATATTTTTAAATATAATTTAAGAACCCCTCCAAGCACCGGTGTCTGACTGTTTTCCACCACCTCACTGCCCTCTTCACTACCTCATCCCCCGCCCACCCACCACGCGTACCCGCACGGACACAGCTTGAGGGTACTTGGGAGGCAGGGAAACATCTGGGAATAGTGGCCTGACCAAGGCACCGTTCTGGAAACAGACATGATGGGTCCCTGTTTCAACTTGGGCAAAGGGAGGCAATAGTGAAACAGGTCCCCTCAACAGAAAAAGTTAGGACAAGGACGGTAGAAAAACAAAACAAGAAAAATAAGACCAAAAACAAAAAATAAAACTCAAAGCCTTCAATATGAAGGCAGCAGATGGGGGAGGGGCATTTACAAGGGGGAAAAATGAGTTCAGTGATGACAGCAGCAAGGTCAAGACATCAAAGTCCAATGACTTTGTCACCAGACCATGACAACCCTTCCTTCCTCCTGGCATATCACTCCACTCCCGAGCTCACAGGCTAGTCACTCTCCTCTCTTTGGTCTGCAGGGTCAAGGCCCATCAAGGTGAGGGGAAGCACCTGGAAGCCCTGACTGGGGATCGGAGGGGTGCTGTGGGGATCCCTGCCCAACCACCTCTGGGGAAGCTGGGAGATTATGGGCCCTTCCTTTCCCTCTGGTCATACCCAATCCTGACAGAAGCTCCCCTCATCTGTAGTCTGGGGTTCCCCACCTCAGGGGCATGTGATTTCTACTCTCCCACATGGCAGAATCCCCAAATCCAGTCTCTCCAAATTGCCAACTCCCACCCCCATGGGTTCAAAGTGCAATCCAGTGGGGAGCAGGGATGGGGGCCTCTATGAGTCCCCACCCGACTCTGCCCCAGGAAGAAGGGAAGGCTTCATCCCTGGGGTTTGAAGCTCCTGCCACTCCAGGGCTGTGGGCCATGTGAGGAGGCCAGGTCAATACTGAGGGGTTGGTCCTCCTGGCCCGGCTGGGGCTCCAGGTTTGGCCTGGGACTTCATGTGCTGGACACTGGCCAGGATTTTCTTCTGGTGTCCCGCCAGAGTGACTCCAATCCGGAGCAGGTCCCTGTACGAGGAAGGAAAGCTAGGTGAGACCATAGGGCACCCTTAGCAGCACACCTTAAACTCCAGAAACCGCTGTTCCCTCCAGACTGCCAGCCAATCAGAAAGGCCAACAGGGAGGGGGGGTGTCCAATGTCAACCGTTGCCAGGCAGTTTCTGGAGGAGTTAGGAGTTGGGCCATGGTCCTTCTGTGCAGCCTCAGTAGAGGATGAGGCTAGGTCTCTCAAGAGCTGGGTCCACAGGGGGCAGGGCCGGGAGGCAGGAGATGGGGGCTGCAGCTGGATCCTCTGGTGGGGATTAAGAAAGGGCAAAAAGGTAAGAATCTGAGAGGCGGGCAGGAAAGACAGGTGAGAAAAAGGCCCACGAAATGAGGCTGGGGGAAGGAGCTGCACAGATCACTTTAGAGGGGAAAGGCAAAGTCAGAAGAAGGAAAAGGAAGAGCTGGGTGGAGAGGAAGGGGAGGCACCAGTGCCAGCAGGAAAGGGGCAAAAACCATCCGCTCCCTCCTAGCCTGCCGCCTGGAGACTGATATAAGGGTAAATGAAGAGGCAGAAATGGGAGAAAGATCCTGGGTCAAGCGGAGGCTGTAACAATTTAAGAAGGAGAGTGCCCAGGCCCAGGGAGCCGACTGGCTCAGCCCCAGTACCTTGCCTGGCCTGGAGAGGGCCTCCAGGATGCTTCTGGTTCTGGGTTCTATTCCTCCTATTCCTATCATTCTAGCCTGGGCCAAGAAGAGACCTTAGGAGAGAAAGGCAAGGCAGGAAGGAGGAGTACCAGAAAGGCCAAAAGGGAAAAACACTGTTCGGGAGACACGGAATCATAAAACCATTTAACTTTAAAGCTGGAAAGGATCTCCAAAACCTAGTCCAATCTTCTCCTTTTATGGGTGAGAAAGCAGACCCAGCGTTGACGTTTGTCAACGTGAGAGCTGGGCCTGGAATGTAGATAGATGCACAAAGATAGATATGGATTGGGGGGGCAGGGGGAGAGACGGCCCAGGGCTGTGATGTGAGGACAAGTGGGCATGGCCGCCGGGAAGATTCTCTGGATTCTCAGTCTGGCAGCTATCCCTGCTTTTGTGGCTCTTCTCGACTTGGTGTAGAGCAACTCTTCCCTGGCGCTGCCCCACTGAGAAAACACAGCTGGCACCAGGAGGTAACCCCAAAGGCCCCTGCTGCATCTGTGGGCCTGGTTCAGGTCCCCATACTCCTTGTTTCCAGACTTCCCGCTGGCTGCTCCCAGCTCACCACTACCCCCTTTCCCCTGAGATCCTGCCACGACTTACTCGGTGGAGATCTGGCTAACTAGCTCGAAGGAGCCAAATCCGGCAGCCGCAAAACTTTCTTCGTATCTTCCCATCTTAATGGCTCGAAGCCACTCACCCACAGAGCCAAACGCTGAGTAGTGAGGCTGCCGCTGATCCAGGAGTGGGTGCGAGGCCCTGGGAGGTAGGGATGGGGAGGACACCCTGAGCACCAGGCCTGAGTCAGGATGAGGAAGTTGAGCCCAGGCCCGTGGCCAACCTTGGAGATGGACAGAGACCATCCCACATACCACCAAAGGGATGGATACTTTCAGAGGGGGAGCTCTCGGGTGGTGGGCCCATTCTCTGGGGTCCTCACCCGCCATTCTCCCTGGCCACGATTTTGAGGCTGGCAGGGTTCCGGATCATCTTGTCAAGGGAGCTGACCACCTGGGGGAAGCGGGGCCGGGCATTCCGGTCCTTCTGCCAACAGTCCAGCATGAGCTGGTGCAGGGAGGTGGGGCAGTCAGGGGGTGGGGGCAGCCGGTAGTCCTGTTCAATGGCATTGATCACCTGGGGTAGTAGAAAGAAGCACTGGGTAAGGACATCTGGGGAAAAAGAGAGATGCCAAAGGGCTCCAAGGAAATGGGGACTTAGCAGATACTGGGACAGGAGCCGCAGCCCCCCAGAATGACAGATCTGTGCATCCTCAAGGCTGAGGCTACCTGTGATGGGATGCCTGAGATGTTTAACCTCCCAACTCTGCCCTCCATCTCTGTGTCCTTCTGGGACCCAAACATGCTGTACCAAAGTCTATGATAGAAAGATCAGTTCTTCCTGCTACCCTCACCATCTCAAGGATCCAGCAGTGATGAGCTTTCTATGGTCTCCTCTGACCCCATATCCCAGGTGAGAGAACATTACAGAAAAGTTTGGTATGATCACAGAACACTTACATCCTGATTACTCATATCCCAGTATGGCCGTTCCCCAAACGACATGACCTCCCACATCACAATCCCATAGCTCCAGGCATCACTGGCAGATGTGAACTTTCGGAAGGCAATGGCTTCAGGGGCTGTCCATCGGATCGGAATCTTTCCTCCCTACCAAAGGGCAAAGAAAGGGTGAGCTGAGGGACTCACAGTACCCAGGTATACTGCCCCCTCTTTTGCTTTTTTCCTCTAGTTCAGACCTCCATTCTTTCTGGGACCCAAGCACCCAGCTCCCCAACTCTGTTCTCTTCCAAGACACCTATGAGTCCTGCTCCCTGGTCTGCATTCCGAAGATTCCTCAGATCCACCTCTTGGTCTGTTCCTGGATCTGCTCCCTGGACCAGAGCTGTCCATCCCCTAGCCTCCCACCTTTCCACTTCCCTCTCCACCTGGCCCTAAGGACCTAGTTCACACCACCCCCACCCCATCTCCTAGCCTTACCAGAGAGCTCGTGTAGGTGGGATCAGAAGAGTTCTCCTCCAGGAATCGGGAAAGGCCAAAGTCAGAGACCTTGCAGACAAGGTTGCTGTTGACCAGGATGTTGCGGGCAGCCAGGTCTCGGTGGACGTAGCTCATCTCAGCCAGGTACCGCATGCCTGAGGCGATGCCCCGCAACATGCCCACCAGCTGGATGACAGTGAACTGTCCGTCGTTCAGCTGCAGATTGGACACGGGAGAGGGGTACGGTGAGGACAGCTGGCCCACCAGCCCTCTTCTTTCCACTTTCTAAACCTATTTGTCACTTCCAGGCCCCACTCCTGCTCACCTGTAGGGGAGGCCTGCCCACTTCCCTGGGTGAGTCCTGCTCTTTTCTCTTACTATATTATCATAACACAATGCTTGTAATTGTTCTGATTTCAAGTATATGCATTTACATTCAGTCTTTCTTAATTACATTATAAGGAGACAATTTGACCATTTTTCTTCCACTTAACCTAATAGGGTGCTTTACACCCAGGAAATACTCAAAAAAGGCTTTTTATCTAATAAGCTCCTTTGACAGCTACAGTTTTGTCAGCTAGGTGTGCACTCTCGTACTCCGAGTTACCTGTCTACAGGTGGAGATGGATTTGTGCTGATCCAGCTGCAATCTCGCTCAGCCCTCTTGGACCAGTTGGGTGTGGTTTTGCAAGAGAGCAGCAAGGAACTGGGGTATGATCAGTTACCACAGAGCCAAAACCAAGGGTCTAAAGCCCAACCTTGACCTTTATAGAGTTTATTCTTAACAGCTAAACCAACTAGTCCCAGATGGTTAACTAATCCCATCTTCTGGGTTCAGCTAGGATGTAGGGGACCCTCTACAGCCCTGCAAGGGCAGGGACACAGAGTCCAAAACCTGAATTCTTAATCCATCCTCCAAATCTGCCCCCACCCTAGCTGTATCTCAGTTCTTGGAAACTACTCACCCAGCTGCTTAGGCCTAGACCCGAGTCTCCCGTGACTCCCTCTCTCTCTCACCCTCCACCAGCAAGTTCCACTGGCTCTGCTTCCAAAACCAGTCCCCAGTCCAAGCACTTCTCTCCACCCCACTGCAAGCCACCGCCTGAGTGGCTGCGACTGCCTCCTCACAGGCCTCCCTGCTTCGGCCCCAGCAAAAGGGATCGCCTGAAATCATCTCACTCTGGCTCAAGTCCCGCTGATGGCTCCCCCTCGCACATCTTATAAAATCCAATTCCTGACTAAGGTCACAAGGCCCACTGTGGCCTGGGCCACCACCTGCCTCATGATCTACCAGTGTTCCTCTGCTCACTGATAGTGGCTACCCAGCCATCCTGTTCCGGAAACATGCCAAGTTCCTTCCCACTCTCGGTCTCTACTCTCTGCCCCAAACGTACTCCCCCAACCTTCTCAAGGCTGGCTTTTTCTCATCTACCCAAATGCCATCTCTTTTAAAACAGGCCTCCTCTGCCCCCAACAACCAGACCTCTGTATGGTACCAACGTAACAACACACAAGGGAGGTACAGGGTGTCATCACACTACTCCAGGGGTCTGTCTCCGCATCGCTTGGGGTGGACCCAGGGTACCTATCCCCTGATGGGACACAGGATGCAGTGCACAGCATCCTCTGATAGAGTCAACCCACAGCGTTCAATTGTGAACTTATCAAAACATCAGATATAACTTCCATTACAGGAAACACAGAGAAACAAGCTAAATGACCCCACAAGGAAGAATCCAATAAATCCAGAGGTGGCATCCAAAGGGACAACTGCTCTGCGTTTAAAGGACATTATGGGGACAACTGGGGAAATTTTAATATTGAATGAGTATTAGATGATACTAAAGAATCACTGTAATTATGTCAAGTGCAATAATGTTATTTTGCTATGGAGGGAAATGTTTTGACATTTTGAAAAAGATGCACAGCAAAGTTAAAAATATAGTAAGTTTCAGTAAGGCCTGTTACATAAAGTGACAAAAATAATATAAGCTCTTCCCACCTCATCCCCAGCCACTTTTCTGTTATCTTTAATTTTTTTCACATCTGAAATTGTTTACCTTTTTAAAATCCCATTTGTTTACTTTTGAATTTACAGTCTCCCCATTAGACCATCAGCTCCCCAGGAGCAGACACCCTCCCACTGCCTTGCTCAAGGCTCTGTCCCCACTGCTGAGAACAGTGGCTAAATGCACGGGAGGCTCTTGGTAAATATTTGCCAAAAGAATGAATGACAACCCCTCCATATCCTGAGGGCAGCTGTCCCCTAGAGGGGCCAATCCAACCCCTGCGGAAGGGAAGGCCAGCCCCAGGAACTCAAACTTTTCTGGAGGGCCAGGGGAGTCCCGGGTAGTACAAACGATTAACACACTTGGCTGCCAACACGGAAAGTTGGTGGTTTGAACCCACCCAGTGGTGTCAAGGAAGAAAAGCTTGGTGATGTGCTTCTGTAAAGATTACAGCCAAGAGAACCCTGTGGAGTCCAGTTCTACTCTGACACACGAGGTCGCCATGGGTTGAAGTCAACTCAGTAGCAACTGGAGTGTCAGAACGCAGCAGCAGTGAGGGAGGCTGGAGAGAGAGTGACACAGGGCCAACTGTCCTGGGTTCTGAGCACGGTGGCCTCTGCTCCTTGATAGCTCTGGCCAGAGCGGGGGGTGGATGTGAGAGGGTTACAGATCAGGGGCTCACCCGCAGGAAGGAGTCCAGGGCACCATTCTCCATGAATTCAGTAAGGATCATGACGGGCACGCTGTTGGTGACCACGCCCTCGAGACGGATGATGTTGGGGTGCTCAAACTGGCCCATGATGGAGGCCTCACTCAGGAACTCACGACGTTGCCGCTCTGTGTAGCCGCCCTTCAGGGTCTTGATGGCCACACAGCTCTCCTTCTTCCCTGGGGCCTTGAGCCGCCCCCGGCACACCTCACCAAACTCACCTTCAGGAGGGACACCAAGAGTCAGCTCTCCTTCCCTCGCCACCCTCCCTGTCCCCAGGCGCCCAGCATCTTTCCTCTTACCTGCACCAATCACCTCCTCAATCTTAACATAGGAGACGTCAATTTCTTTTGCAAATTCCCTCACAGCCTCATTAGGATCTTCGTAAGTGAAGGGGTCGATATACACCTTAGTACCTGAGGAATTATTCAGGGCCCCGTTACAAAGAAGTAATTTCCTACTGGACTCAGATGCCCGGATTCCTGGCTCACGGCTCCTCCGCCCAGCACTTATCTCCTCCGGGAGAGGCCTACTCACCATGCCCAATGAGATACTGCCCGTGTTTGTCTGAGTATTCAGCTTCTCTCCCGTTGTTCTGCTTCCTGTAGCCCATGGGAAAGAAGCAAAAGGTAAACTAAGTCATAGATCTCTATGTTCCCAGAGGGGCAGGTTGGGAAGGAAAGGGTGGGGTCAGAGAGGACTCCAAGTGAAAACAGGCCCATGGGCACTCAGAATGGTGGTTTTGAAGCAAGAGGGCAGGGGGCTACCTACAGGGGGCTTCACAGGAGACTCCAGGTGCCCAGAGCCCTTACCTGAGGCAGATAACAGCAATGACGATGACAACCAGGACCAGCACCACACCCACGACTGCTGTGCCTGCTATCAAGGCCAGCTGCTCCCGCCAACTCTCATTCTCTGGAGAGAAAAAGCTGGTGGTCAGAGAGGCCTGAGAGCCCCCTGGAGGTCCCAGCTGCAGGCTCTGAGGAGTGAGTGTGGCCCCTGAGAACAGGCTCCAACAGCTGTGACGGTGGGGAGAGAGGACACAGGCCAGGCAGGGTCAAGAGCACACAGTGGTTTTCAAACTGTTTCTCACAAGCCCATGGGCAGGAGGGGATGTTTCCCAACTGGGTACCGCCAGAGTACTTTTAATTTTGTCCTGTTATACATACTGGGTTTCATTTGAATGACAGGCTCCAAAGATTAAAAATTAGGTTTATAGCCAAAAAGAGGAAACAACCCAAATGTCTACCAACTCATGAGTGGATAAATAAAATATGGTATATCCGTACAACGGAATATTATTTGGTCATAAAAAGGGATGAAGTGCTGACCCGTGTTACAACATGGATGAACCTTGGAAACGTGCTAAGTGAAAGAAGCCAGACACCAAGGACTGCGCACTGTATGATTCCATTTACAGGAAATGTCCAGAATAGGTAAATCCAGAGAGAGAGCCAGAGACTAGATCAATGGTTGCCAGGGGCTGGGAGGATAGAGGGGTTGGAGATTAAAGGCTAAGGGGTACGGGGTTTCTTTTTGGGGTGTTGAAAGTGTTCGAAAATGAATTGTGGTGATGGTTGCACAAGTCTGAATATACTAAAAGCCAATGAATTATATGCTTTAAATGGGTGAATTATATGGTATTTGAATTATTTCTCAATAAAGCTTTTAAACTAAAGCTGTTAGAAATTACTGGTCCAGCATATTACAACTAATATGTGTTACCTCGTTTAACTCTCAAAACCCTACAAGAGAGGCTTCACTAAATACCATTTCACTGGATGGGGCTCAGAAGGTCAAGTTTTGGCTAAAGGCCACACAGCAGGTAAGCAGTGAGCTGGACTCACATCCAGCGGTGGTGTCTACACCCTAGGGCCCTTTGGACAGGCCAATGCCACGTGGCTGAGAAGGGAGGAGCGTGAAAGTGTGACTCTGAGGGTCTTGCAGGGCAGAGGCAAGGCTTCTCGCCGGTGGGTGGGCAGCACCCCCGCCCTGCCCTGGTCCCCAGGCTCACTCACCATCCAGCGGGGTCTGGCTGTGGTGCTCCTGGCCAAAGGGCCCGTAGCCAGCCTCAGAGCGTGCCCGCACCTGGACCAGGTAGCTGGTTCCTCGCTTCAGCCCCCGTAGCTCTGCCCGGTTTTCTGACGTCTTCAGGAACCGCACGCTGCTGGGGCCCTCCGCGCCCTGTCCGAAAGGAGGAGCTAGCCCTAAGCCGGGGCTCCCAGTTTCTGTTGCTCTTCCTGCCTCCCCTCCACCCTGTGCCCCCATCCCTAGCATCTCAGTCCTGTCGTGAGGCAGGCGAGGCTTTTCTGCTTAGTTATGCACCATGCCATGTTTTACACTCATTGTATCATTTAACCCTTGCAGCACCTCAGTACGGTAAGTACTGTTATCATAGCCATTTTACAGATGGGGATACCGAGGCTTAGCGAGGCCAAGGGGCTTGCCCAAGGCCACGCAGCTAGTAAGGGGCAGAGCTGGAATTGTCCCAGTCCACAGTACACAGCCCACCCACCCCCACCACTAAGGCCAGGGCCTGGCCTCACCTTCTCGTGGTACTTGACCTCATAGTCCAGTACAGCCCCACTGGGTGCCCGGGGGACAGCCCATGCCAGAGTCAAGCTGCTGGGTGATGACCGTGTCACCCGGATGTCGGACACTGGAGGGGGCACTGCGAGAGACAGAGATATTGGGTCCCTTCCTCTTGGCAGGTCTGTCCCTTGTCTTTTTCCAACTCTTTCCCTGCTGCGTACGCTTGTCTCAGTATTCCAGCTACTTCACTAGTTCCTTCTGACTCTCTGCCCCAGACTTCTCAGGGAGGCTCCTGTCTTTGGGCCTTCAGCCTACCTTTGCTTCTCTTTCTGCCCCCACCACCCCCTGCCCCACAAGCCTTAACCCCTCCATTCTCCTGGGGACCTCCACTCCCCAGCCCCTCCCATTTCTCCTTTAGGCCTTTAGCCTGTCCACCTCCCTCCCTGGCCTTTCCCACTGACACCTCTCCCACCTGACCACGGGCTTCGCCAGCTCCCCATCTCACCCTCGCGGTCGGTGGTGACATTGACAGGCTCAAATGGTACCGGCCCTGTGGCTAAGGAGGACACCCCATTCAAGGCAGTGACCTCAAAGGTATAGGTGAAGTCAGGACGCAGCCCCCGAATCACCACCGAGGGCTCCACCAGGTCCCGGGGGCCAGGGTCAAAGGTCAGGTCTCCTCCACAGGGTGTGCAGGAACCCCCAGGGCGGCACTCCCTGCAGCGGAGCGCGTAGGTGAGGTCCTCTCGGCCGCCCGACTCAAGCGGAGCACTCCACTCCAGGCGAAGGGAAGAGCCGTTCAGGCGGGAAACCACACTGCGAGGTGCAGAGGGAGGGGCTGCGATAAAAAACAGGGAGTCAGAGGGGTCCACCCGGTGGGAAGGAAGAGGGCAGTGGGAGAGCCAGCGGCACTGTGGCGCCTGGTCTTGGCAATGACACGTTTCACTGCTTCTCTGCTCTGGGAACCAGCACACCAGGGTCATGAGGGAGAAGTCCTGGGAAGATGGGGCCTGTGGTGCTGGCTGAGGGCCTGTCCCAGGGGTCCGAGCTCCCTCCCCAACAAACCAAATCTGGTCATTGGTCACTTACTGGTACAGGGTGCACTCCAGGGGTCTGTTCGAGCCCGGAAGTACCCGATGCGGCACTGGCAGAAGGGTGAGCCGATGGTATTGGAGTGGCTGTTGGCTGGGCACGGCTGGCAGGACCCTTCCCCTGCCAGAGGCTTGAAGGTGCCCTGGGCACAGGCTGAAAAAGAGAAAGCATTCACCAAAATCATGCACCTTTAGTCCCCAAGAAGATTCAGCTGCTCTGAAGGCTGCATGAACTTCTAAGCAGAGAGAAGGGAGGGAGGGTCTCAGAAACCTGACCTCTAAGAGGCAGAGACCCCTCCCTCCAGAGCAGAGGTCGCCACCGTTTTTGACCCTGATTCCCCCTGGGCAGTCTGGTGATGCCTATGCACCCCTGCTCAGAATGCTTTTAAATGCACACCACAAAACACACGAGTACACAGGACCCATTATGAAATATAATTGCTAAAACATTAACAAAGTTTATGATAGAGCAACGTGGGCCCTTCTTTACTAACAAGAGACAGTAGCCAATCTAATAACTTCTGTAATACTGGAGTTGTGATGAGTGAAAATAGTATTTTGAGATTCTTGAAACAGCTGTAATGGGATGTCCACTGGGAAATAGGAATGTCCCTGATTTGTATGGTGCCCAGCCAGTGCTATGACTGCGGGCCTACATTCGACATGGAAGGAGCTGCCAGATTCCAGGGAGAGATTAGTGAAGGCAAAAAGTCATTTACATTCCAGTAACAAGTGTTTTGTTATATATATTCTTACCATCATTAAAAAAAAAGTCATTCATTCTTCCGTCAAAGTTCACAGGTCCCATACATTCTAGCCACAAAACCCAGGTTAAGAAACCTTACTCTAGAGAACAAGCTTATTAAGAATTTAACATCAATACTCTGAGAGTATGGCCTCCAGATACCCTTTTAATTCAGTACTGAGGTTACTCCTGAGGTTCACCCTTCAGCCAAAGATTAGACAGGCCCATAAAACAAAAAATAATACATGTAGCTCAACCATGTATATGAGACTAAATGGACACACCAGCCCAGGGGCAAGGACAAGAAGACAGGAGGGGACAGGAAAGCTGGACAAAGGGAAACAGGGAACTCAAGGTGGACAAGGGGAGAGTTTTGACACGTTGTGGGGTTGGCAACCAATGTCACAGAACAATATGTGTATTAATTGTTTAATGAGAAACTAATTTACTCTGTAAACTTTCATCTAAAGCACAATAAAAAAAAAACAATGTAATATCAATAAATTAGAGGAAACCATAATGAACAAGAATTGAGACCATGATGCCATTGTCCTCTGAGCCCAAAACCTGAGGACAGTCCTGCATCCCAGGCCAGCCTCTTATGTCCAGAAAGAAAGAAGGAGTTGGAAATAGTTTGAGGGAAGAGTCCAGAAGTGAGGAAGAACTCAGAACTACAGTGGGGGTTATGAAGACAGACCCTCCACTAGCTGAGTGCCTAGAAAAATGAAAAATGTACAAAATGGAAATTTAAGAAGTGGGTCAGGGGTCCAAGGGTCCCCCCCTATGGATGGGGGCAAACTTTATAAGGGAGTCGCCAGCCCTCACCTCGGCACCTGGTATTCCCCTCTGCGGCCTCGAACCCTGAAGCACAGCTGCAGCCAGTGACCGGCTGCTCGGCCCACTGGCCATCCTCCCGGCAGTAGAGGCTGGGGCTGGGGCCGGGGGCAGGCACAGCATCGGCCACGCAGCTTCCTGCCACGGGCACCACAAGCTCAGGAGGCACAGTCTCCGGGAAGTGGGTCAGGTTCACAGTCAGCTGGGCACACTTCTTGTAGAAGAGGTGTAGGGACAGCAGTGCCATGCAGGCACCCTGGTCCTGGAAGGCCAGGTAGAAGCCAGCCTTGGTGAGCGGACCCAAGCGCAGCCTCTTGATGTTTACCTTCCCTGTGGCCTCGGCCCCAGGGCGCTTCCGGGTCAGGTGCTCAGCAGCCACTGTGTCTACCTGCCAGGTTGAGGAAGAGACTCACTGCTGCTGTCCTCCACTCCCCGGCCGAAGGCCAGGCAGACTATCTTCTTCCCAGCTCACCCTCTCCCTGGCCTCCTCCGTTCCTATTCCAGAACCTCCTCTCCACCTTCCCTGACATGCACTTTTCTGCATGTTCCAACATTATCCATTAATACTTGCTGAGCTTCTATGATGTGTCAAGCCCCTGCCCCACATCCCCTTGGCCATCTGTTCACTCACTGTGCAAACATTTATCGACAGCTACTCTGTGTCAGGCCCTGAGCTCAGTGTCATGGAAATGAAAATGAATGAAACATGGATAAATTATGAAGTATGTTGAGTGCTAGGGCAGGAATATGAATAGAGTGATGTAGGCCCCAGGGCAGGGATTATCAGCAAAGATGTCACAGAGACTCTAAGCTGGAACCTATAAGACAAGTAGGAGCAGGGTAGCAAAAGCAGAGAGAAGACATTCTAGGGGAGGCACCAGCAAAGGTATGGGGTTGTAAAAGGGTGAAGTAGAGTCAGGGAATGGGAGAAGTGGAGTGTGGCCCAAGCCGAGTGGGGTGGAGAAGCAGCCTGAGGCCTGGGCCTCCCTGGGTGCCAGGCCAGGGAGCTGGGTGTTATTCTGCCACCCCACCTTGCAAGGAGCCCTGGTGGTATAGTGGTTAACAGCCTGGCTGCAAACCAAAAGGTCGGCAGTTCCAATCCACCAGCTGCTCCTTGGAAACCCTGTGGGGCAGTTCTACTCTGTCCTATAGGCTCGCGCTGAGTCAGAACCGACTTCCCTCTTCAAACTTAAGCCTCCTGCTTCCCAGACCCCAGCTCTCCCTGTCAGGGCCTTGAACGCCATCCTTTGGTCTCTAGATGGCCTGCCCTGAGTGCCCAGGCACCTTGATGTAGGGGTTCTCCATCCAGGCAGGCGTGAGGGCCGTGGCAGTGTCAGCATTGCTTTCGTAGTAGAAGACGGTGAAGGTTTCCTTGCAGGCACGCCCAGCCCGGGGCAGGGAGAGGCACTCCAGCATGGTGAAGCGCAGTGTAGCATACACGTGGACCGCGCCGCGCCGTGGGACCCAGCCAGTCCGCAGCCAGTGGGCCGTGCCCGGGGCCCGCTGCACATCACACACCTCATACGTCCTCACACTGTGCTGTTCCTCATCCAGGCCACTCAGTTCCTCCCACTGTGAGGACAGGTGTCAGCAAGGGGGCTGCTGCGGTGGGGGCCGCTGTAGAAGGGATGGCTGGGGAGGTGGGGCTGGGGAGGTGGCTAAGGGGTTTCAAGTTAATGTGTGAGGGGAGTTTTTCATAAAGTAGGGAGGGACCGAGGAAGGGGAAGCAGTATTGGGGGGGACCTCTGAGGAGCAAGGGCTCAGAGGAGCACCTACTCAGGATTCCTCCTTCTCCGTTTCCCTCCCGAGCCCCAGGTCCCGGGTCCAGCCCTTACCTGCCCCTCCACCTGAGGGTACGTCACCCACTTCAGGTCGGCAGTTTCCAATTTTGTGTTCAGTAGGGTCTCTAAGACAAAAACACACAGACAGTCGGCGCTTGGGGTAGAGACCAGGAAGATCAGATCCCAGGAAGGGAGACGGGGGATCCTTCTAGCTCCAAGTTAGAGGGCTCAGGAGGCAGATGAGACAAGGAGGGGAGCAAGTCCTATACTCTGCACCCCACCCCCACTTTCTCGCTTTTTTTTCTGAGTGTCAACTCCACCCCTAACAGCTGGCAGGCACCAGTGGCCCCCTCCAGGACTCCAAGGTCTAAGCTTTCCTGAATTGGGAGATCACTGCTGTTGGAAGAGAGAAGGGTTAAAACTCGAGCCCTGACCTGAACCTGACCCCGAGAAGGGCAAAGGGCTGCTGGCTTGGGGAACACCCCTCCCTGCCTCTGGCCCCACATTTCCTGCCCCAAAGTTGCTGCCTCCCTACCCCCAACTTCTACTCCTCTTCCAAGTCCCCACCCTCTTTTAGACAAAACACACGGGTCCTTCAGTTCCCAGTTCTCTCCTGGAAGGTGGTGCTCACGGCCTGTAGCACAGCCCTGCTGACACCCTGGCCCCCCTTCCAAGGCTCCCCCACCAGTTAGCTGCCTTCCTTAGGTGAGGACAGGAGGAAGTACTGGAGGCCAGGATGCTTGGGTTCCCGCCCTGGCCCCCACTGAGGCCCCACATCTGGATTTGGTTACAGGAAGAAAAAGGGGAGGTGATTTTAGGGGTGTTTGGGGGGTGAACACACCTGGCTCTGCTCTGGATCGGGGGAAGGGATGGGGCTTTGGTGGAAGAGGGGATTAGGAGAAACACAGCTCTTGGCAGCGAGGACAGGAGGGCGGGTAGGGGAATCCCCTCAGAAGCCAGGCAATGTGGGGGGCAGAGACACAGGCCTGGGAGGGTCGGTCAGGGGCCCCAGAGGGGCCAGCAGCACACCTGGGCCCAGGACTCCCCCACAGAGGTTGCAGGAGAGGAAGGAAAGTAGGGCAGGCGGGCAGCCTCCTCCCCGGAACCGAATGGTGTCCACAGGGCTCAGTGGGAACCTGGCCAGCCCAAGGTGAGCCCAGGGCCCCCATGGGTGGCAGGAGACAGCCCAGCCTGTTGGGGACAGGATGCCAGGGTTCTGGGAAGGGGGTGGCTAGAGGCAGCTGTCTCCACCCTCCATTGTTCCAGCCGGGATAGTGTTTTCCGGTCTCCAATTTACACACTGTCTGTTTCAGGGCTGTCTGCTGGGCTCTGAACACTCACTTTCTCTCACCCTATCTCGGTCTTGCCTGCCTCAAGCCCTCTTTGAGCTCTGCCTTCTTCTCACCTCTCTTTCCCATCTCTGTCTGCCTCCATTTCCTTTTCTGACTGTCACTATCACTCCATTTTCTGTCTCCCTCCTTTCACCTCCCCCTGGGGCATGTGACCTTGGAGAAATCACTTCTCTCAGCCTCAGTCTCCTCATCTGTAAAATGGGGCCATTAATACCTCCTACCCGCAGGGTTGTTGGAATGATCAAAATAACACTTGTAAAGTGCTTTGCACAGACCTAGGGCTTGGAAGGCACTCAGGTAATGAATTTGAAGTATTACTCCCTTTTGCTCTTTGCATTTTTCTTTCCCTCTCACCACACTTCATCCTGGCGGGGTTTTCTTCTCCTGTCTACCCTCCTCTCTCCCTCTCCCAGTTTTTCCCCTTCTTCTTTCTCTGAGCTGGGAAAGCCTCCGCTCACTCCCTCCCCACAGCCAGTCTTTGATCCCCAGCCCAAAGCAGTACTAGCCAGTCTAGGGGAAAAGAGTTTTCTAACTGCCTTTGATTCCTGCCCTTCAGTAGCACCCCATGGCCCACTCCCCAGAGACCCCTTTGATTCTAGGCAGTGAAAGGAGGGAGGAAGCAGCTCACTGAAAGGAGATGAGGGACATATGAGGGAGGGCTTCCTGGGTTCTTGGCTCCCCCTCGAGGGAACAAGTAGGGGAGAGCGACACACATGGAGGAAGAACCATTTGGGGGAATACGGAAAACAGTATACTTTGAAAAAGACCAGGAGGTAGTAGCTGCGTTAAGTTAGGGAAGCTTGGAGGGCTGTGTGGGTCAGTTTCTGCTGGCCTGTAGGGCTGGAGAAAAGTCAACTTCTCTGGGACTCAGGCTGGTCTGGGGTCTAGGTGGCTTTTAAAGAGAAGGGGTGCAGCCTGGGGAAAGCAGGGAAGAGGGACACTCTGCAGCAAGCCCCCAGGGTTTGAGAGAAATTGGGGGTTTGCAGTGTGAGTGCAGAAGGTGGGCCTCTTGACTGGCCGAGGGGAGTGGAACTGTAAGATCAAGGTGTGAAAGCTCAGAAACTGGGTGGGGGTGGTTTTATGGCCTAGCATGAAGGTCTGCCTTGTCTGCAGTTTTTCCTCCAGAAACGTTTCCTCATGTTTGGCGTGAGGTGGGAAGTGGGATAGAAACTTTGGGGGAGTTTTGAGGATTGGGGTGGAGAGAAACGGAAAGGCTGCCAAGACCGTTTGTAGTCTGGAGTAAGCGTTTGGGGAGCCGGGGTTGGGGAATGTCCCGGGACATAGCTCGACTCCATCTCTTTCCCAAACAAAAGAAAACTCCACTCCCCCACTGGGCCGCCTCCTCCCCGCCCTCCTCCCGTTCTAGCACCACTGGTCAGAAGTGTTTGGGGTTGGGGTGCCGGGGTAGAAGTAGACAGAGGTGAGCCCCTCCACTCCCAGGCCCAACTCTGGAGGCCCCAGGAGTCGCGGGGTTCCCCCAAACAGACTCACCTTCTAAAGCGGCGGCAAGCGAAGCCCAGCAGAGCAGCGCCCGGAGCTCCATGGCGTCGCCTCACTCCGATTGGATCTGATCCGAGTTTGGGGGGCGCTAGCCCCCCCACGTCTGAACCCCCCCGAGCGGGTACGACGCTAACTCCCCGCGCGGGACTCCCCGTCGGGCCCTCAGTGCGGGGCCATGCGGGGCGCGCCGGGCAACCGGCCACGGCGCCCAGGTGTGGCCCCGCGGCTCCGCCGCGCGGGCGGGGGAGGTCCTGGAAGCGGCCGCGCGGAGGAGCGCAGAGCGAGACGTGGCTGAAGTCGGGGGTCCCTCTGGGGCTTCGGAATCCCGCCCCGGCTGGCTGGGGGTGGGCCTGCCCTCGCGGTCTCCCCCCCTCCCTAAGGTCGCGCTGCTCGTGCCGCCCGCGGCGCAGGCGGGGAAGGTGGGAGCCGAGCGGGCCTGGAGCGGGAGGGAGGGAGACTGCTGCGCGGGGCCGAGCGGGCCGGACCGGGGGTGGGCCAAGCTGGTACTGGGCCGGGCTGCGCCTGGCCTGGGAGGGAGGGGCGCGCGGGGGGCGGTGACGAGCCCCCCCGGCCGGGGCTTGGCGAGAGGGCCCGGGCGCGCTGATTGGAGCACGCACTGCTGAATAATTCATGAGGGAAGCGAGCGGGGCGCGAGCGGAGCAGGTCGGGAAGTTGGGAGAAAGTTTGGAGAAGGGGGAGGGGCGGCGGGCAAGGAGCCCGGGGGCCGCCCAGACGTGCTCAGTGGCCTTACGCTTGGCCCGGGATGTCGCGCATCGGGGCCGAGGTCGGGGCCGGGGCTGGGGCTGGGGCTGGGGTCCCCGGTAGCAGGTCCGAACCCGGCAGACACGAGGGAGCAGAGAAGCACACCTAGCCACACTGAAGGCCGCGCGGGCGTGCGCGAAAATGTGCACCACACACACAAAGCCGGTTGTGACCTTCGTGCGGACTTCAGATTCCAGCCGTGGATTCCCACTACCCCCTCGATGGTGCAGGGGACTTTGGAGGGAAAGAGAAAGGGCTAGGAGGTTTTGAAGATGGAGAGTCGCCCTGCAGGCCCTGAGGCAGTGAGCCTAGTTTAGATAACCCTGGAGCAAACCTTCACGCAATCTTCCAACAAACTTTAGGTAGTAGGGACCTACTGCGCGCGCAACCGGGGAACACGAGGGGAAAATGAGTTTAGAGGAGAAGTATAGAAAAGTCGAGGAAGTGGTAAGTAAAAGGTAGTGTAGATCCAAGGGGTACGGACCAACCTCCATATACCCCCCTTTCACTCGCGTTTGTGGGGGTTCTCCCGCCGCCAGCAGCCCTGACCCCTGGGGGGGCGTCGCTGTGGCTGCTGCTGCTGTCTTTCCTGAAGCTGTTTCCTGTCTGGCTCCTGGGGGCCCTCGGGATGGCTGGGAGGGGCCCTTCCTCTCACTGCCAATTCCGCTCCCCATCCCCCCCCCCCAAGTCCTATCAGTTAACGAGGAGGGTCCAGGAAAGCAGTGCTCCTCCCACCAACCCCCCTTCTACTTCAGGGCACCTATAGCGTGGGGCGTGGGGCGTATGGGGATCGCTGCAGGAGTTGCCTGTAGAAGACCTGGAAGGAAACAGCTTAGATTCAGAAAGTGATTCAGGGACCGGAATCTGGAGGAGCTGAGGAGCTGGGGAGCTGAGAACGAGGGAAGAAGGAGTCTGGAGATGCTTGGGGAGCTGCCAAGCGCCTCCAACCCTCCAGAGAGGACAGCCAGGCCTGCAATGACCTCTTGTCCCAGCGCACTTATCTTCCTGCCACAAGAGGTGCTCCCCACACCCCTGCCCTTCCTCATTGCCCTGCCTGGGTCCTGCTCTGGGGGGGTGGGGGTCACCGAGGGCAGGAAACAGCCGGCATCTCTGGAGCCAGACAGCCCAGGCTGGGGCTGGGAATCCCCTCCTCCCTCCTGACCACCCTGCTCCAAACCCAGTCTCCTCTTTTCTTATTCAGTGTCTCCCTCCAGGTTATTCACACACACACACCCCGAGAAACGGCCCGCAGACTCTCTAGCCTCTAAAAATTGTGTCTTCTCTTCCCTCCTAGGCTCTGCCTTCAACCCCCTCAGGTGCTTGGTCTCTTGAACGTTTTCATTTGGTGGGGATGCAGTTCATCATGAGGTATGGGGGAGGCAGGGAGGTGAGAGACATGGCCTGAATGGTGGAGAGAGGGCGATCTCAGAGAAATGAGGCTGGTGGAGCAAGGGACTGGTGAGACAGGTGACAGAGGAGGTGTCAGCAGTTGGTGAGGGGCATAACAGTTCACCTATATATCTGACTCCTGGGGACTAGGTCCCCTCCCTAGGGGGAAGATAGGGCTCTAGGTTAGAAAACACCCAGTCTGTCCCATATGGTGGGGTCATCAGCCTCCACCTCCCGGCAAGTCATCCAGTTCCTAGTACCTAGTGGGTACCAATAAAAGAATATGGAAACCTTTATTAAACATCTACTATGTGCCACCTGGAGCCCTAGTGGTACAGTGATTAAGAGCTATGGCTGCTAACCAATAGGTCAGCAGTTCGAATCTACCAGCCGCTCCTTGGAAACCCTATGGGGCAGTTCTACTCTGTCCTATAGGGTCACTATGAGTCAGAATCCACTCGATAGCAATGGGCTTGGTTATGTGCCAGCTGATCACTCTGTAAAACATGTCTCCTGGCTTCAAGGGTCTTATGTTGTTGTTGTTAGTTATCCTCAAGTTGGCCCCTGACTCAGGGCCACCCTGTGCACAATGGAACAAAGCACTGCCTGGTCCTGCACCATCCCTATGATTGGTTGTGGATCAGACCATTGTGATCCACAGAGTTTCCATTAGTTGACTTTCAGAAGTAGATCACAGGACTTTCCTCCTGGTCCATCTTAGTCTGGAAGCTCCGCTGAAACCAGTTCAGCGTTATAGCAGCACACAGGCGTCCACTGACAGACAGGCTGCACAAGAGATGCACTGACTGGGAATCAAACCCAGGTCTTCCACATGGAAGGTGAGAATTCTACTACTGAACCACAAATGCCCCTTGAAAACAGTTGCCATCAAGTCACCTCTGGCTCCTGGAGACCCTATGTGTGTGTCAGAGTAGAACTGTGCTCCATAGGGTCTTCAGTGGTTGACTTTTCAGAAGTAGATGGTAAGGACTTTCTTCTAAGGCGACTCTAGGTGGACTGGAACTTCCAATCTTTTGGTTATCAGCCCTATCACTATTTGTACTACCCAGGAACTCTAAAAATCTTATAATGTGGTAGAAATCCTATCGTTTCCTCTTTCCATAGAGATGGCATCTGAGATTTTTACTTCAATGCTCAGGAAGTGTGAGGTCTGTCCTCTGGATATGAGATCATTACCTCCACCCTCAGAACACACAGGACCACTTCCCAGGCAAGTGACTCTAGTGGACATTAATTACATGGATGAGCATCGTTGCCAGTACCTGAACTGATGATTGTTCCACAAACCCAAACACAGCTTGGGGCCCTCCCTTTCCTCATTATTAGAACACTTCACTCTCCCCTCCCCTCCAAATGTTAGGCTGTCACCCCGTTCCCTGTCCACGGTCAATCTGCTGCTAGCACACACTTCCTGCCAGTACTAGTGTGGGCATCCTTGAACAGCCAGTGGGTTGTATTTTTGCTATCCACATTACTACAGTTGTTTTGAGCAGTTTTGTAGTTACAACTTTTCCTATGTGTAATAAAAACAACAAATCATCCCTTTTCACCATAAATTATGTAAATTGTTCTCCTCTTCCCACATCCTGGCCTCCTCTCTTCTGGTCCACCTAACTCTGTCAGGCCTAGGGTTGAGTTTACCTTGAATCTCATGAAGTTTAGGTTCAGCACCCCTCACTTGTCTGGCTCCTTCCACGGCCCAGGTTAGTGAGTGCTGAAAATTTAAGTGGTTTTTCAGGTGAGTCACACCACAAGAACACTTGAAGTGGCCTGAAATCTTATAGCTCTTATGTGAAAAGGAACATAAGAAGTGTTTTAGAAGCTTTGGCATTACCAATAATGAGTTGTGACGTTCAAAGAAGTGCTTATAAACTCTAAAAAAGAAAAAAGTTAATCGGCTATACTAGATCAAAGATTGAGATATAGAGAGTAGAAAATATTGCCTAATTATTGTATGAAGACATGATCAAAAAAGCGTATGTACATCTAAGAAAAAATAGGAACTAAAAGTATTATAGAAGTGTGTCCGGCAGTGATTTACTACAAATATTACTTTTCTGGATTTTGTGATATTTATTGGATCTGTCACCTTTTAAATATTTGTAACATTTTCTCAATCTAAATAAACATTAACTTTTGAATTTAATTTTATATTCATAATTTTCTACTTGTTTTCTTAAAGAGGTTCTCCAAATGGTATAAACTTCAGGTCCCACTAAATCTAAATCCACTCTTGTCTGATTACTACAAACCTAGCTGAACTTGTTATATACAAAGTTGTAATAGACACATGGGTATAAGTCTTTATTAATAGATTAGTGATTGTATATTTACTTGTATACGGATCTAAGTTTCATGAAAGCAGGTATGTGTAAGGGAATTTTTTAACAATTGAGGTACCTGATAAGATTTTAAATGGCCAGCTTAAGGTTTGGGTGTGATTCCTTGATTGCCGGTTCCATTTTTACCCTAAGGACAGCCATCTTCCATGCAGTTTGTAAGAGAAGAATGTCCGGTAATGATGATATAACTACCCTGTTACCTCCCCTCCCATCACATACCCTTGTAATTACTACACTGTAACCAATCGAAGAAAAATATGTATATCTTTTTAAGCCAATGGCCATATGAGTTCCCGCCACAGGAAGTCCTGCCTTATAATGATCTAATAACACATTAAGTAATCACTTTCAATGATCTAAGCCTGTAATTACCAATCAAGTAATGTGCTTCATGTCCTTTGTCCCCCCCTTTGTAAAACGTCACTGCTGAGTCACCATATTGGATTGCTGGATTCCACTGCATGGAATTCAGTCTATCTCCAGCTTGAGCTGTCTCTTTACTTTCAATAAATCTCTCAATTTTACTTTA